CATCAGTACAGTGACGGTGATGGCACAGGTATTGACATTACTGGATGTCAATGTGGAACTGACAGATACAGGCTGCTGACAGAACACTCTCCAATTCACCTGCTCATCATTAACCTGGATGACAGACTTGTTAGCTGCACCGCCTTTCCAATCATACAGCAGTAGGACAAAACAGCGTTTCACTGAGGACAATAACAACAACACACAGTACGACAACATACAGCATTTAATAAACAGCAGCAAGACACCGGACCAGTGTGCATGACACACGGGTTATTTATCATACAGTAGATATTAACAGAAGAATAATTACTGCCCATTATGTGCAGCAGTTCAACTTGGACCAAGTCTTTCTATATGAAAACTGACTCAAACCTACTCTACCTACTGTCTTTCCAGCCTGGAGGGTCCGGTGGGACTCAGATAAAATCTCTGCCCCTTCCATACTGGTTCCCCAAGCTCCGAGGTGAACTACAGATGCCTGGTTGGGACAAACTGTTCTCTGACAACCTGGCGGAGAAGCTGGAATAACAAGTGTCGTTCAGCTGAGAGGCACCGTCGCAGTTAGGCTGGATTTATCAGACAGTGTGGAAATGATGCTATCACCACATCCTCAAAACACGAGTCCACTGACGGACACTAACTAATGAATTATTAACCATATCTCAGACACAAGTACACTCTGTTCGTCTCTCCATCACTGACCTGAGGAATGTGGCCGTCTGACCGAGGCTGCAACGGGTCCTCATCCGAAGCCTCAGGGCGTCTGAGTGCTGGCTGTTTAAAGACATGATGATGATGATGATGATGCAGACAGCCTGCTCTCCGTCTCTCAGTGTTAATCACTGAGGCACTGGGCTGTGGCTGAGCTGCCAAGACGAAGCTCAGCACCAGCAGCCAGCGCGTCACCGATTTACATGTCAGCCTCCAGGAGAGAGAGAGGCTGGCGCCACCAAAAACATTGCCAGGGTCCGCCGCGCAATGTCGGTACAGACCGGGGTTGCTGTGGAAACGTGAGGGGAGGACATGCCCGGTAGTGTGTGTGTGTGTGTGTGTGTGTGTGGTCACATGCCTGAGTCAGAAACATGACAGGAGGCAGGTCAGAGGGCGGGAGAGGAGACAACACTGTCTGGGGAAGGCTCGACGTCCCCACTGGGAAAATCTGAACAATTCCCAAACAAAACAGGCCGGTTGCCTTTATCGTGACCCTGGGTTGTGCCTCTCACAAACAACCCTCAACTCACTTAAATCCTAGAGCACATTCTAGCACTTCCTGCCCTTTGGAAGCTTTTTCAACTCATCACAGAATTATAATTAATAGAAACATTTATAAGTAGAGCTGCAACACACCATGCTGATGCTGCAACAGTTAACTGATCTTTTAATGTGTGGGATTAAAATTTGAAAATGATTTCTGAGCTAAAATCAGACAAAGCCTCTCTGGAAAGCACCAGCAGAGTGTTTCTCTCTAATATTAATCACCAGATAAATAAACAGATCACGAGTCTTTGATTAACTTTTTGTTTCTGCTTCACAATGTGGGAAAAGGAGCAGCTTCAAGAAACAACAGCGGTGAGAGATTGTGCAGCTTTGTTCAGTCTCCACATGGCAAAGAGCCGGAGTCACCACTGGCGGGTGTGATGGTCTCTGCTTAGCCCGGGGAATCTCAGGTTCTGTTCAGCTGTGAACGACGCTGAAGCCAGAACCATCAGCAAAGGGACAATCATTCACAGACATACCAGCACCAGGGTGAAACTTCACCGCAGGAAGGTGACTCACATCTCACCACAGTTTTAACAGAACATCATGTGACTTGTTCAGATTATCGCCGGCTGTCGCCCACAAACACCAGTATGATTCTGTGAGGATGAGGCACGACCGGCGGCGCCGAGAGGCTGAGGCGTTCTCACACCTCCTCAGGCACTCGCTGAGCAGGTTACATAAGCCTGAGAGTGAATGGGCCGCTCTGCTGCTGCCTCGTCCTCTGATTGGGCAGAGCGTGGAGGCTGTGCTGAGGGGTCTGGTGAGAAGAGGAGGAGGACACTGAGGTCTTTGTCAGGCTCTGACACACTGCTCACAGGGCAGGGTCCAACACAATCCTCTAAAGACCAAAACTAATCCATCAAAGCTCAAGGTGACATCTTGCTTTTTAAGAGCAATGGTCCAAAACCCAGTGAGGTTCAGTCTTATTGATACAACACAGACTGGAGCCAGAGAACACGTGGCCTCTTGTCACTTGACCAGTTCATTAATCAGCTCATCATTTGTGCACCAGTGCAGACAGGCTTGGTCGTCACTCTAACCACTTTGTGAGACAGTTGACACCAAAATCTGGCTGAAGAGTGAACGTCTTCTAGAAGCACATGTCTACAGTTTCAACAGTGTTTCAGTCATGACACTTAACCGTTGCTTCTTCCTGTGCTCAGATGGAAGCGCACACGCTTCTGTTCATGCTGCAGATTCCACACACGCAGTAGTGAACACAAGGATGAGCTCACACAGCAGCAGGAGGTGCTGCACAACATTTAAACTGCACAAACGCTGCAGCAAGTCCTTCTTTCCTCCCTTTGACTACAGTATGACTGGAGAGAATTAGGGAAGCTGTGGGCTAACATCAGGTCTTTACCATCAGTCAGAGTCTACAGACAGATTTTAGGTTTGGATGAAGTCTGGTTCAAATCAATTCAGCGGACCTGAGATTTTGTTTTGGAAAGCCAGACCTCCTTTGACTTCCTGTCTGCTCAACTGTACTTCCTGCTCAACTATTAAAATAAAGCTGCATCATTAGTAACAAACAACAGCGACTGACCTGACTGAACTCTGAACTCTGTTGGCCAATCGTGTCATTTGCAGCTTCCCCGGGTGTCGTCACACCCGCAGCAGCATGTATGAGGAACTAACAGCCTCACCCGTCTCCCTTCAGGTGACGAGTCAGTCCTATATGCACTAAGTGCTTCTTGTGTCTCTCACAGCTGTTCCGTGCGACTGAACAGCCCCAGAGCTGCTCGCCATCCTCCCTAAGGGGGCTGCCCGGGAACAGCAGTCACATTGGTTCCCATGGAGGAGAGTCGCACAGAGCCAACCCAGCACCAGGGATCCTGACTGCTGCACATCAACACCTCAGTGTTTCCGTTCTGAGGTGTGATGTCAGGAAACCTGTGAAGTTCAACACCGGGTGTTGAGGAAAGGAGCGGCTGCTGTGGCACAGCTCCGGCACAGGGATCAGGTTAATAAACTCCTGGTGCCGACACTTAGCAGCACTGACGTCAGAGCTTCACTGTGTTTCCATCCAGCAGCTTTCAGTTACATTTTCAGTCTGAACAGAAAAACCAGAAATGTTTTGATGCTTTGATGTTGGCATGTCAATAAAAGCAAAATGCAACAAAGAGCCTCAGAAAAAGAATCAGGACGAAGGTGAATCGTGTGACTGAAGAGATGATAAACAGCAACAGAGACAGTGGTAAGACAAAGGAAGTGAAGCTGGGGCCTGGGTAGGTCAGAGCACAGAAAGAACAAACTCAGCCTCCTCCACAGTAGCGGGTGAGGCGGGGGAGACAAGCTGCCTCATGACCCAGCAGAGTGTTGTGGCATTTTCCCTCCCCTGGGGACCACAGAGCTCGAGCAACGCCACCTGACTATGCTGATATGACGGCGGCCAGACACAGAGTGAACGCACAAAGAGCAGGTCTGCAGGCAGAGACTCTGTCCAACACTGTCACTCTGGAAATGTCAATACACATCCAGTCATTTATCTGAGGAAATGCTCTCTCTCTCACTTTGCACTGTCTGATGCCTGTGTTTCAGCCTATACCCTGCATTACCCAGAATGCCTTTCAGTGACCTCGAGGGGGCTGATAACATGCACCTGATAGATTGTGAAGGTACAACAGCCCCAACAGTTTCATTTAAAAACAGTCAACACACTTCAGTGGAATTCAGCCTGGCTTGTAGCAGCAGTGCATTCTGGTCCTTTTCCTGCCCTGCGGAGCAGACATCACTCTGTCACCTCGTGAGCTTCTGAGAAACATCTGCTGCTCATACAGCCTCACTGTGTGCAAGCACAGGGACACACGTGTTCACATGAGCAAAGCCTCAGCAAGAAAATAAAATGCATATTACTGTCAAAGTCCTGACAGACACCGTTGGGTCACAACCAGGAGACCACAGCAAAGGCCAGACTCCTGCACCTGTCTCTCGCTGGCCTCACCTCAAATGCATCAAACGTGTGTGAAATCAGATTCGTGGTACGGGGGTCCCTGTGGGAGACCACAAAGTCTCTCACACGTTTTCATCAACCAAAAACTAACACATTAAAAGTCTCAGACAAGCTCCCCCAGTTCAGGTTGAGTCAACCCCACACACCAGCAAGGAGTTGCTGGTTATTTCTGTTCTCATTTAGACAATAAGTGGTAATAAAATCCTGGACAAAGGTGACATGTCAAACCAGCCGCCAGTCCAAACCAAGGACTTGCCACTGACACAGAAAAGCAGCAAATCACCCCGGTGTTCCTGGCCTTTGTCCATTTACCCCTGACTTTTCAGGTGACTGACACCACTGCAGTGTTGCCTCCAGGTTTCAGCAGGTTTAATGAGCCAAGGTAACCAGACAGCTTGTGGCGCGTTCCAGGTTAAGTTATCACGGAAGAGCAATCACTTGAAAAGAGACTTTATTTAATTACCACTCATATACACGGAAATAGTGGGAACCTAAAACTGTTCTTAAAACCGGTCCTCGGACTGCCTGAGACTCCTTCATGGACCCCTGGGAGATCCCGGACTCCTCTGCTGAAAACACACATCATGGACACGCGCTCTGTGGTAAACACACCATCCATCCATGAAGAGGAGCAGCTGACTGTGGTCGACCTGGATGCGGCCATCACCGCCCTCAGCATCCACCACGCTCTAAGCCCGCACAGCCACCGCTTTCATCGTGTTTGAGTCCGTGTGTCGGAGGCAAAAGACGCGTACAGTGCGCGTTAAATTGGCCACTCACTCACCATCATCCCTGGTAGGTCGACGCGCCTGGTCCGCGTTCACGTGACGGCAAAAGGAGCCTCGTGCCACCGAAGCACCGAACATTTCCATAGCTTTCACCGCCGACCTGGGTGTCCTCCCGTCGGTGTGGAGCTCCGCCTGTCCCCGGCAGCCTGCAGGGCGGTGGATCCGGCCTCACTGCTCCTCCATGGGGGCACGCACACGTACGCCGGCCTAAAAAAAGAAAGCGGGTTACATGCCTGTTATAAACCAGAAGTATGAGTAGAACCAGTCTGTGGTCTGGACGGATGGAGGATGCGGCGCCTCTCACATGAACGCGGTGCGTCGGCAGCAGGAGGCGGCCTCCGTCACAGCCTGCATCACGTTTAGGGACCACGGAGGAAAAACCCGCAGCGGCTCCGACAGGCTGACGAGTGAAATACACCGAGAACCGGTTCTGCTCAGTGCTCCAGGAATATTCACGCATATGCAACTTAGGGGGAAACATGTAGTTATGGAGCTACTTTGTCCAAGTAGGTTAATGTATTTAAGCACAATTAGGCGAGTATTCACATGCACTTTTACTTCGGTGTACTTTAGAGGGATGCTTTTCACTTTTTGTTGCAAAATATTCATTTAGTACCTTTTCAGATTAAGATTTTATGCATGTTGGTTTCGTTACATGTCATTTGGATCGTCCTTCCCTCTCGTTACGTTGTATATATGCGCAGTACTACACTGTGTGATATTACATTGTACTGTCACACACGGTATCTGTACCCGTGCAAACAGGAAGTGAAGTTAGTTAACCTTCAAAATAATGGTTAGATGTTTTGAACAAGGCTGCAGGTGGAGGGTTTATATTGGTGTGACATTGCTGAGTCGTCTGTTTTTCTTTCCCTGTTTCTTGTCAGACCAACTGAGGTGTTTTATGTTTCACTAAACTCCCAGAAAACATCAGGTCTTTGTGTTTAGCTAATTTCAGGGTTCACATCCATCCAAAGACACTACTCAGCCCTCTCACCAACGCCAGACTACATATCTACTACAGCTGAAAGAGAAAGTCAGTCACACTAACAGGCTGGATCTCCAGCTGGGCCCAGCAGGCGTCACTACAGCTCAGTGCAGGGCCTGAGCTTCAGTGTGTCTCTAAACACATTCAATAAAATCACAGAATGTGAGGATGTGCGCTCGGTTGTGGGTATTAACCCCAGGGTTAATGTGGCCACTAGTGTTGGTTTCTGTACAAACCTAGAGAATAAGCAGAAAAGTCAGATGGAGCAGCAGGAGTTACTTTTTCACAGAAATAACTGACAAGTGGATTTTCCACGTTATCGTGCCGTATTTTATCACCGTGCAGGTCTATGGAGCAAAAGAACCATTCACACACGTGACACTGAACGTTTCATTGACTTTATTAAATGTACTTAAGTGTGTTGCCTCCATGACTGATTTACCACAAACTGACTCTTAGGCCATGTCTTTTATTTCTATATCTGCTCATTGTGTCACTGGAAGCTCTGTGTTTATGTTGAAGCCTGTACACAGAGGTAGAGCCGCTTTTCCTGTATGGAAGGAAGGCTCCTTCAAAAATACACTTAAAACCTATTTTTATATTTGTGCATGCATTTTAAAAACAGTGAGAGAGGTATTATATGTTAAAGTACATTTGAAAAGAGTTGTGTTTACATTGGTAGCAAAGATTGCAATCACAGTGTACAAATGTGCTAGAGTTAACAGAGAAACGTAACGTAGAAAGACCCAATGCAAAAGCTGACGCCTGGTCCTGTATTTAATGTAAAGGTTAAATGTGGATCTTGAAGACATTAAAGTCTCAGCTAACGCACCACGTTGTTTGCGAATTTGTGCAAATAAAAGCCAAATGTTTACAGTTGTAGCAGTGATTTGAGCACAGTGTAATCCGGATGTGCTCCTCCATAGTAAAGCCTCCTCTTGGATTTGAACCAGGTTTTGAGGTGGATTCATCGTATATGAAAGCACAAGCTTGACTGCAGTTATTAACACTTGTCATGCCTGGCGTCATGTCAGGCTGACTCTCCACCTCACAGTCAGAGGGAGCAGCGTGCACCTGCACATCCTCACTGCTCCTGCACCGGCCGTCCTCAGGCTCGGGGCAGGAAGCGCAGGTTGATGGGCTTTGAAGGGATGAGAAGGATCCGAGTTTTGGGCTGCACGGTAGGTGTGCCATCTTCAGGCTGGACCTCATAGTGCTGCATCAGCTGCAGGGTGACACACAAACTAACGTGTGCTGCTTGACAACAACTGTGTTTTGATTTTCTTAACACATTCTCCTCCAGTTTCTTCCTTTCTGCAAAGGTTTGTCTCTTTTGTGAAGGAGGTTGAGAAATGTTTGGCACTCACCCTGGACAGAGCGAAGTACATCTCCATCTCCGCCACCCTCTTCCCCACACAGGCTCGCACCCCAACTCCAAACGGGATGAAGCTGTATGGGTGGTGCTTGTAGAAACTGGGTGAGGGCCTGTGACAGCCGTCTTCAGCCGCCCCAGGGCGGAGCCAGCGCTCCGGCATGAAGCGCTCAGCGTCGACAAACTGGGCCTGGTCGTGACAGACTGCGTAGTGACACAGATGGAACAGAGTCTGACGGGAAAGAAGAGAGCGCCTAGATTTTGTATTTGACCAGAAGCAAAGCTTAAATCCGTTAAAATCAGTGAGTTTCATTTTCAATAGTTGATCAATGTAAATGAGCGACATTTAGCCAAGAAAGGCCCATTTTCATCTGGGAAAACCAAGTGCATCATGAGTGCCAGTGATCCAGATAAGAGCCATCTTCCAAAACAAGCCACACAACACACACACACACACACACACACGATGATTTTTATTCCTGACACCGCCTGCACCATTCTGATTCTGCCTTCCTACCTTCTTAGGGAACCGGTAGTTGTCCACAACCACCTCATTCTCTGAAACAAGGCGTCCGTTTCCGGGTACGACAGGATACAGGCTGGTGGAGAAACACACACATGGAGGCAATGAGGACACACACAGGGCAGCAGTTCCTCTTTAGTTTCTGCTTTGGGGTTTTCTGCTTTGCTTCACCAGAGGACAAAGATGAGCGCTAACACCAAACAGGCCTGTGGTGCTGCTGCACACACAGACCAGGGCAGTGGTGGGACAAGTCCTCACATCAGGTCTCTATTTTTTAAGTACTCTATTTTTATTCCTATTTATCTCATTTCAATGAGCATTCGTTGTCTGTCTGCATTGTTTACTGCCTGTTTATACTGCTTATTTTGTTATATTACTGTAGTGGTTAGCAATAAACCAGATCCCAGAAGAAATATGTAATAGAACAGTATGTAGTTCATATAGACATTATTTGTTATTAGCTTGTGTGAGGGAGAGCTGAGTGGTTATGGGTTCATTATGTTCATGTGAGTTGGGCAATGGCCATATGTAAGTGGTCAAGATGTTTCCTTTTTATGAAGTACATCTCAGGGTGTTGTCTCCCCCAAACTGGAGACAGGAAGCTAGGTTCAGAAATTGATGCAACAGCATAAGGGACGCTGCTGATAAAAGAGTGAGCCTGGGAGAGAGAGGATGACCATGCTACCGTGAACAGTGTACCGCAAGCCCGGCCTCGGAGGGCCCGGGGAAACGACGACGGACTGGGGCTGACAGGGGAACCGACTCGGGACTGACAACAAATGACCTGACTGACTGGTGCTTCTGACAATCTTCTTATGCTTTATCTATTCCATTGCAAGAGGAGAGTCTCTGCTCTCTGATCTCTGTTCTCTGTTCCCTAACTACAAGATTATGTGTTTAAATACTACTCTATTCAGAATAATTGTAATATTAAATGATCCTTTAAATTGTAATGTTTTGTCTGAATTAATTTGTAAAAATACTCTGTACAGGTAGAAGTCCTACCATCACACTGACTTTAGTGGAAAAAAAAGGTATCAGATAAAATTGCAGGTTTTTGTGTATACTGTATTGTAGTAAGATACAGCAGAAGATACTCTATTCTAAAGTTGGACTTTAATATTTAAACTAGTTGTCTGTTTATGAAACATGGACAAATGTCTGACACAAGAATTTCTGATCTTCTCAACAGACACAGCAGAAAGTTCTAGCACAAGTTGACCCACTGTCAAGGTGCACAGACAAGGAAGAAGCTAACTGGAAGGAAACAAGTGCAGCAACACTGTTTTGAGTAAAAAGACAGCATGAAGCCTTCGTCAGGGTCTGTTAGAAGCACACAGCAGAGTCCTATAAGTAATGCAAATGTTTAAAAAAAAACCTTTAAAACATGATTGGTTGTTTTTAAAGTTTTTTCTTTTTAGGTTGGCATTATTTATAGGACTCTTTGTCGTGTGCTTCTAACAGACCCTGACAAAGGCCTCATCCCGAAACACACTGGTCTTTTTACTGAAGCTGCTCAAAACACTGCTCGTGTTGCTGGACTTGTTGCCTTCCAGTTTGATCTTCTTAACAGCTAAACAGCATTTAAGGCTGGGTGGAATAACTAGAAACAACTCAACATGCTCAGGACCGCCAGGCTGAAATCCAGTTTCTTACCAGGAGCTGTGAGAATTATGAATTCTAGGCCTCTTTGATGGACTAATGCATTTTAAATATGATACCCATTTGTTTTAATGCTGTTGTTACATTTAGGTTTTATCATTTAGAGTGTATTTATTTATTGTCATATTATTATTTTATATGCTTTTAACATATGCTGGTCCTGAGTGACTAATTTAATTTAGCATGTTTGGACCATTTCAAAACAAGTTGCTGGCACTACTCGTTCGTTCACCGAGAGCTGTCTGACTGTCTTTCACAGGGACGCCCTGTTTACACAAGATAAAACACTAGTTCACAAGCAAATCTAATACTTGACTTTGAATTCAGGTAAGACCATGACAGGAGTCATAAAACCGACATACATCAAACTGGATGCCCCCTAGAAATACATGTACATCACGACAACACAACAAGGTCTGTGATGATTCATAATGCAGCGACATCAGGAAGCATCTTCAGAAGTGTCGCGTCTGAAACTATTCCTCAGTCTGGCTACTGTCAACACAGACGGGCCTTAAGGACAGTCACTTGACATACAGTGCATACAAGTGGGCATGGGAGAAAATGCCACAGATGTTGGACCAGATACAGATGTGACAGCCACAGAAACAAAAACTGGACCAGAGTGTTTTCCTGCACATGCTTCAGTGCAGGTTTCTGTACATCAGACTTTCATATCGAGTGCAAACATCAAAACCTGCCTCACACCAGAGGGTTGAATACATTCAAAGCTAAAAGAATTTCTGATTCTCTCACTCTCAGTAAGCTACTGCATAATTTTAGGAGTTTCACAATGTTAAACGAGGGCTCACAATGTGACAAATATCAGAAAACATGAGCCCCTCCGCTCTAACAGACAGAATGAGACAACTCACCGTAATATTTCCTTTATGACGGCCTTCAGGTAGGGCATCTGGCTCAGGTCGTCTGTGGTCGGCTCCCGTCTGTCCGGACACACCGAGTTCACCTCCTTGTACAGTCGATCCTGGGCCCCGGGGTCCCTTGCTAAATGGTACAACGTCCACGACAAGGTGTTGGATGTCTGACAGCAGGAAAAGCAAAAGGGACAAGTGTCGCTGTCCATCACAAGGCACTGGAAAAGTAACACTGCATCAGTCAGTATGGTCGCTGACAAACACCTGGTTGTTGTCAGTGCACATCACTCTGCCACAGAAAAGTGAACTGAGCAGCCCACAGCTGGAATTATTCAAACTAGCTGTGGGTGTTGGTGGTGAAACAGGTCCAGCAACACCTCAGCAAACAAAATTCTATTCAGCAACGTCTTATTTTGATTGGCAGAGCAACTCCCAAGGTGCAGTCTGGGCCCACAGGAGCGAGCGTCTTACACTGCATGTAGAGAGGAAGAAAGTCTGCAGCCTCCACAGCAGGTTATGCTTCTTTGTCAACAGCCTTGTGGAATTTCTGCATGAATGCATATGAACAACATGAACAACAGTGTTTTGGCGGCAGATTCCGACGCATGCTGAACAATGCTTGAATCTTCTCTGCATGTGCATCAATACACAGTATCAGAGCTGGTTAAAACATCACCAGCTGGTGTTTGAGCAGAGAGTGATCTGTCCACATTTTACTCAACATACCATAACATTTTTAAGGCCACACCATAATCTCACATCACCTTCATTTCACTAAACTAAGACTCCACAAATAAAAACTTCTACATCTGTTATTAAAAAGTAAAAACCATAGAAGAGAGAGAAAGAGAGCTTCCTGTCTTGCTGTAAAGTGAAGGGAGGTTTTTTTTTTTTTATCAAACCAAGCATATCAGCTTAATTCCTTGCTCATATTACAGGTGTGAAGCCTCAGATCTCCACACTCAACAAACATCCAGTCAAACAAGTCCCAGCCTGTCTAAGGAAGGAAGCTACAAACGCTCTGTGCCGTGTGAGGGATCACATCTCTGTACTTGCAGGCTGTAATTCACTCAGGACAACTCAGTGAGTGTAAATCCATAAATAAATTAACCATGTGTTCGTTGCTGGGCAGTGTTCCTCCTCCCTCCCCCCACCCCCCACTGGCTGGCCAAAGTTAAAAAAGTTCCCATGCATGTCCTGATGTTTCTTTCCCCTCTATTCAAACCAAGATGAATTTGAGGTGAGTGCAGCTGCTGTTCTCACTAAAGAAGCAAACTACTTACAACCAGCTTAAAGAGGGAAGTGTTTAGAAAAACCTCAACTGCTTCCTGGGGTAACAAACATGCCTCAGAACTGAAACCGCCAACGGAGAAACAATTAAATGATGCACAACAAAAATTTGGACTTGACATAAAGCCTCAGCAGTGCTGTTTCAAAACCAGACACAAGAAAAACTGTACCACTGGTCCCACCGCCCCCTCCTCACCGTGTCGACTCCGCCCAGCAGCACCTCAGTGACAGTGATGTAAACCTCCTTAATGGTCAGCTTGTCAGAGGACAGCAGTGAAGTCAGGTACATGCCCTCTGCCGACTCACCGCTGCGCGCTTGGGCTTTGATTTCAGCCATTCTCCTGTTGATGAGGGTCTGGGCTGCCACACAAACACACAAGCCAAAAGATGAGGATGCGCACACAGTTTTACTAACTTGAAACCAAATCCAATAGTGGAAGCCTAAATCCCTTTCTTGTTTCTTTCACAGCCTACCTACGTCATACAGGTCATCCCAAGCCTGAACAAAGCGCTTCCAGTAGGGGAGGATGCTGCGGCTCCAGCGTGGGAAAAGCATCACCAGGTCAGATGTCGTCAGCATGTCGTTAACAGCGGCAATGAAGCGCACCGTGTCTTTGGGAATCTCCTCCTGCAAGCAGCCCAGCCTGGTCTCAAACAAGATGGCAGAGATCCCTGCAGAGGGCAAAACTCAAAAACAGGTTCTGATAGAGTCAAAAACTCCACCCTCCACTCCATTACTGCACCTCTTACCCTCAAAGCCAAACTTGTAGAGCTCAGCCGCCAGATTGGAAACTGTGGCCTGGTCCTGGCTGCGACTGCGAAGGAGCTCGATGCGTTGTAGCAGATCTCCCACCACCTGGTGGATGATGGGGGCGTAAGCCATCACTTCCTGCAGCTTCAGCATCTTTGGGTTCAGGCCAGAGCGGATTCGGTGCCATTCTGGTCCTGTACTAGAAAGTAAAATAGCTTTCATGGTTCTTCAGATCACAAATTTGAGAGGACCCATAAATAAACCCTAAGTGTTATCAAATCTGACATTTTAAGAGTGTTTCATTCAGTGTGAAGAGTTGATCCCATTTTACATGTAAGAAATGAAGGACTTCCAATGATTTATGTCTATATTAACTTTTTAACTGTTAATGTTACTGCGTCCTCCGTCCCCACTCACTCCACATGCAGGCCATAGGCCTGTCCCCTCAGGTCCCTGTACTCCTTCCAGTGCAGCAGCTCAGTTCGGACCGGATAGCGACCCTCCTGTTGGATCACCTGAGCGATGAGCTCCGGGGTCGCCACATTGACAATATCCAGTGAACCAAACCTGGAACGCCAAATGGGCCCATACAGATTCTTCTGTACACCCTAGGAAATAACGAACCATGTCAAATTTTGAGTGTAAACTGGAGTTTGAAGTGACTAAAAACTTTTATACAAGTGTTGCTTTTTCATATAGTTTTGAGGTACTTGTGCTACACATAGGAACTTCTGTTTTTTAGAGCCAGAGTCACTGGTTATTAAGCATTTTACATCATTTCATAAATATTCTTATTCAACAAAGAATCCTAAATAATCTGCACCTATCCACAGCTACTGACATTTAAAAAATAAGTAAAGAGTTGTTAGAATTGGATTTCAGGAGTTGCAGTTGTTTTATTTACTGTTAGAATTATTTAGCTTTATAATGATAAAGTTTAGTATGACTGTTTGTGTTTTATTAACAGCACCATGTATCAGTATTAACCTGGCTCTTATATATGCATAATAGTTATAATTTTCAGCTGCAGTTCAACTTGTAGTGTTTCTCATCTTCTTGGATAATTGTTCAAGAGTAGATTGCATAGATAAGTGTCGTTCTGGAAACTAGATGAGACACTGTTAATTTATGCTATTTTGCAGACGTGAAGTCTGACAGGCCTGAACTATTCACCCATGTCTGAAGCATGAGTAAAGGTTTTTACAACAGAATCAGGGAAGTAAGTGGCACAGCTAACTGCATGTCCATTTTCAGTTGGAAAGAAACACCTGAAAATAGAAGATAACAACACACACACACACACCTGCTGCCTATATGAACATTCTAGAATATTGAGGTGTAATGTACCACCCATGTACAGGGCAGAGAGCCCAGCGCTGTAATAACTCTGCATTTAACCAGAAGAAAATAAATCTACTTGAAGCTGATTCCTGTTTCCTGAGTGTTACTTCTTGGTGCCTTCAGACAAAAGAACCGGGTTAAAACTAAAAGAGTAATAAAATAAATGCCTCCTGAGGCATGAGGAAAAGGGGAGAGTCTTGTGTACAACATTAATTCAAACACTGCATTTAAGTCTCATAATACCTCATTATCACCATGCAAATATTTTAAACATCATTTTTCAACATCATCTCAATCTGGCCTCTCTGACCTTGTCCCCAAAACAGTCGACCTGAGCTGTCCCTCTGATGTGCTCATTCCTAATCCTGTCCATCCTGGTCACTCCTAAAGAGAACCTCAACATCCTCATCTCTGCTACCTCCATCTCTGCCTCTTGTCTTTTCCTCACTGCTACAGTCTCTAACCCATACAGCATAGTTGGTCTCACTCCTGTCTTGTACCCCTTTCCTTTGATTCGTGCTGCCACTCTTCTGTCACACAACACTCCTGACACCTTTCTCCACCCACTCCAACCTGCCTGCACTCACTTCTTCACCTCTTTCCCACACTCCCCATCACACTGGACTGCTGACCCCAAATACTTAAACTCCTGCACCTTCTTGACCTCAGCCCCCTGTAACCTCACTGTTCCACTTCCATCCCTCTTGTTCATACACATGTATTCTGTCTTACCACGACTGACTTTCATTCCTCTTCTTTCCAGAGCAGACCTCCACCTTTCCAGGTATTTCTCCACCTGCTCTCTGCTCTCACTACAGCATTATCATTTACACTTACTTTAACAATTCATACAGTGGAACAAGACACATGAATGAATGATTTTCCATTTCCTTGTAGTGTCCATGTGTCTTAATTTTAATACATTATAGGCTGTAGACAACCACTTTTAGAGCTGGATAATGAATCTGATTTGAAACAATCAGAAACAATAAATTTTTCGAACAGATTAATTGTTTCTTGGCAAAAATCCTGCAAACCGAACACCCACTCATCCCGTATGCATTGTATAGCAGATTGCCATTCGCTAGATACAAGATACAGTACAAATCCTTGAAAGTTTGCAGTGAAGTTTGAATTTATTTAAAGTTTCTTGAAAAGGAGAATATTCCTTTTAGTGAATAGAGCATGCACTGGTTTACAGGATTATGTAATCTAAAACCATGTATACCTAGTTCATACTTACATACCTGCTTTCAACAGAAACCACAGTCACACCTTGGCCCATACTATCACCATTAATCACCCAGTTCACATCTCCAACAGGCTTTCTGTGTCAAAGCAGGAGGATGCACAGTGTCTGTTTTCAGGCTGATATATTAACCCAAATACCTTAATATCATTTTCAAATTTAAAAGAGTACAAAGTATATTAAAGGATTCAAGTAAATCTATGTATGTCTATGCACAACACTCCTTGCATATAATAATAAAAGTTGTACTGTATATTTTTGTAAACGTAAACAACCTGTGGATTTCTTCTATTGTGACGTACACAGACACGTGACCTACTACTGCTACCAAAAAAACTGAACTTACAGCATATGGAAAGTTATATAACTAGTCCATTATACTGACTTGAGTCAGTTCAGTAAAAGCGCAAATCCTGCCGTCCGCACACGATCAGCTGTGCGCGCACGGCTCTGCGGCCTGACGCGCTTTACCTGCAGTAGGTGGCTCTTGTTCGTGTATCCTTTGACAAACAGCCAGTACAGAGTTGTGGCTACGCTGGGTCCCGGCAGGTCATCGAGACCCTTCAGCTTCCCCGCGTCACTAGTCGTCTGCACGTTCACGTTTCTTCTGACCGAGACAGCAGCGGAGGCTTCGGATCGGAGCACCCCACCGACCCGGGCTGCTGGGAGCGCCGAGAGGCGGAGAGGGTTGACTGCAGCCGCCAGAGAGCCCATGGTGCCTAGTTTGTGATAAGGGGCTCAAATCTGTTTTTCATCTCAGGAAGTGGCAGCTTTTATTCTCTTCAGCCCCTGCAGGGCGTTCTCAGTACTGCAGCAGCCAAGCACAGACTAGTGTTCATTCACGCAAGCTTGACCTGAGGACGGTTGCCCTTGGCAACAAGAGGATGCCAAAACAGATCAAATAACAGCAGCCTCATAAAACCGCCCTAAACTGGTTTAATACTCACACCACGTAGCTAAAAGAAACGGATTTGTTCCCCATTCCAGTGACGTGTGTTGTTTTCTTGTAGTTACTGCAGCATTTTTTACACTTTGAGCTCACACTAAATTCTTATCATTAGTGCTGATTAGACAGAAAAATTCAGTTTTTCTTCACTGTAAATCAAACATGATCTGGGGTTTTGGACCATTGCTTGTACATAATGCACACCACATGAGCTACTACAGTGCGTAAACATGGGTGTGTGAATAAGGAAAAACACAATATCAAGCCCACAAGAAATAAAATAAACACATTTTAAAGTGCAGTAACTTCATGATACTTGCTTGTGGAAAGTTTTTTTTACAATCATCTATAATTCACTGAGACCAAGGGTCTTTTCTTGAACAAACAAAATACTGTATGTTAACAATGACAAATATAATAGACTGTTTATTAAAAAGTTCTAAAACTCATCTTTTCTGGAAGTGTTGGTTCTTTACCATCATCTCCACAAGCCCACAGCTGCTTTTAAAACATTCCTACAGGTGGAAAGAAACCATCAGCCTGCTTTAAGAGTCTTAATATTAAACAAATGAGCTGAAAAATATACTTTAAAATGTGATTTTGAACTTGTCCTAATTACACTCACTGGACTTGAAAGCTTTTTTTTTTCCCTAATAGTTGGATATATTTATAGTCTTGTGCCCTTCTAATATTATCCACCAACCTTATGGCCTGTTTATATACAATTTACCATTCCAATGAAAAGCCTCACTCGCGTGCAGTTACACTGATGCTCCAGTAAACGTACTTGGTTACGTTGCACCGGTGAGCAAAGGGTCCGACTCCTTTCTACAGCCACTGTCTGTAGGCACCAATCTGACGCCGAGGATCCTTTGCATTTAACCACACTGACAAATGACAGCCAGATGTGAAATAAATATCTTTTATTGTTTCCATCGTCATAGTCATAATAGTAATTATGAACACAGAGCTATTGCAATACTCCAGAACTCTGCCCAAAAGCAGCACCTGGTCGACGGCACCGCTGTGTCACTCAGGACCCAACCATGCATAAAATCTCCCATTTTAAAAAAAAAAGGAAAAATAAAAAATATATATTAAAAAATTATGCGTACCACCGATATACAGATCTGATATAAACAGGCGCATTGGTCACAAACCAATCAGAATTATAAACATGGCTTCTTTTACAATACACAGAAACCGGACATGTGGATATAAGTGTATTTTTCATTAAAAAAAAGGTACATTTTCATTTTATACATCTGTACACAATTTTTCCTTATTTTAATGTTCTCATCCCTACAGTCTGAATGCTCAAGGCATTTCGGGTGCAGTGTCCAATGAGCGCAAACTGCAGTAAATGCACATTTATAAACTCACAGTCTCTCTCTCTCTCTCACACACAAACACACACACACACACACACACACACATTCAGGAGCAGAACTACAGGTGTATGGTGGCGTTTGCAGCTGACAAATACTGGTACCGCAGTTAATCCGCTGTGGTGAACGAGGCCATCTGGCGGTAGAAAGGAGACATTACATTCATGTGCGAGTCATCACTAACACACAGTCACAGTCATACTGTGGACAAATAAAGTCTTTAAAATGTGCAAAGAAAAAGTGGCTGAACCGAGCTGCACAAGTGACAGCTGCTGGGGTACCGTGGAGAGTCGAGCTACCACTTGTACACTGCCTCAGAGTCTGCACAGACACTGGTGCTCTCACCACTGGAGGCCAATTCTCTGAGGCTTTGTTTGGACACGTACCGTTCTGAAAATTCATCATGTGAGTGAAGAGGAGCTTGTTTCAGAAGTGACATTTCTATAACAGGAGCACGACTGCAGCACAGCATTTACTAGAGAGTAACATAGGTTCCAGTCTTCCAGCCAAGTCTAAGTGCTTTCAGAGTAAATCAGCAATGGTAAATCACAATAATCGTCCTCTATCACTCAGTAATAGTTTCGTGAGACCGAAAGAACAAAGGACTTTCCTGCTGCTGTTAAAAGGTGGGAGCAGTAAACATCTCACTAACATCTAGTGGTCCTCCGCAAAGCCCTCCAGTCATTATTTCATACCAGCATCTCTCTCTATTCTGTGGAGCATTACATGTGGCCATCAGTCTCAGGAGGTAGCTCCAAACCATGACTCTCTAACCTGAGCTGCAGACTGAACCCACAAGCGTCACCACCAGTCAGTAAACAGATGGAAGGAAGTGGTGTCACTGTAGCTGTGAGCTGGTGGAAAGGGCAGCTGTGTAAAAGGAAGGGCGGTGGCGCCCTCACACATCAGACACGGTGCTGTACACAGCCGTCTGCGCTGACCACATACACACACACACAGGACAACACATCAACCTGTTACTGTGAGCTACGGAGTCAATATGCTTCATGTTCTGAACTGTGCAAAGATAAGGCCAGGTTTCATGTGTTACCAACATGTTTAAAAGTAAGTCAATGTCCATAAACAAAGAGCCCGTACCTTCACTCTGTGTGTACTCGACATCAATACTCCAGCTTCACCCACAGACAACGGGCTCTCACAGCGCTCACTGAAGTCCAACTGGTGCAGCTGACCAGCGCTGCTGCTTTGTCCTGCACACAGCATCTGATTAACACCTAAAGCCACATTTAAGTGGTTTTATATGCATTTATCAACTCCGACTTCTGCAAACCACCTCGCTGCATGGCTGTGTCATAAATACACTGTTTGGGTTTCTGCAGCTGCTAAATGCTAAGGTCCAAATGAAGGCCCCAGGTGTTCAGAGGGCTGAGGAGAACCAGGTGTGGCTACTGAAGACAAATGAGTTCAAATTAGGATGAATGGAGTCCTGAGTGTGCACCTAATCACCCTCTAATCTGGAGCATTAACTCAGACTAGCAGGTGATTAGCTGCTGCCAGAGCTGCCCAGAAAGATCACGGCTGCTGCCTGGTGCTCAGAGCAACCTCAGTGTATCACTCAGACTACCAGTGAAGCTTGGTCAGGGAGGAAACCGCAATGAGAACAGAGCGCTTGTGGTTTGACTAATGTGGTGAGTTGATGTCAAGGCGTTTGATTGGGAGCGTAAAGGAACAAAGCTAAAAAACGACTTCAGGTGTGAACCTTCTGTGTTGGACCAAAACAGAATATAAGATGGGACAGGACTGAAGAAGAGGGCTTTGCTGTGGCACACTGCTGAGGATGAAAAAATGAAGAGGCCTTTTACTGCAAAAGCACCTGTTGGTCAGATGATGAGCAGCTAGTGGGCCAGCGAGGAAATGAAGCAGCAGGACAGCGCCATACAGCCAGACCTCTGGCCAATCAACTGGCAGCTCTAGATTGACACTGATCAAACGCTGCCCTCTGGCTTTCTGCTACAAGACTGAAGCACCATACGTTGGGAGAGAAGCTCACATTCTCAGTCGTGCTGATTTCATCTTCGCTGAGATTGTCTTCTAACTAAACACGTTAATTCTACAGTGATTTTACTGAGCTGGCTTCTCACTGCTGGAAGCTTTGTGTCGGGAAGTGTGTCCAGCTGTGGTGCCGTTTAAAGCACATCCAGGCCTGCTCGTTACACGCTTCATGAAATATTCTGCTCATCAGTCAGCCATTGATTTGAGATACTGGTTCACCAGTAACTTGACCTTCTGGTGGCAGCTTCCTCCCACTCAGACCACAGTGACAGCTTTGAGAAGCAGAGGAGAGATGGATGCGTTTGAAGAAGAAAATCAGGGCTCCAAGACTGAAACATGTCAGAGTACCAGGGAAGTACACCAGCAACATTTCACTCTAAACCAGCCTGAAGGATATTTGGTTACCAGCCAGGGAGAGCAGGCAAATGAACCAAACATGCTGAGGTGGGATAAATGATGCTCAAGGCAGAAACGGACATTATGGCTGAACTGAGACTAGCTGCATCTGGGCTAACGGTGTGAAGGCAGTTAACCCAAGAGGCAGAACACTGAGAACAACAACGGAGACCATCCACAATCCCAAGAACCATTCCTACACTGCATTTAAAAACAGAAAAGGCACACGGCAAAAACTGGGACGAGGAGGAGGGAAGGCTGTTCACAGACGCCACGCAGAAATACAAAGTGTTTCATCAGGCAGAGCATGAAGACAAGGGACAAGGAGGGTGAGTGGAAACTGTTCAGCCTGTAGCAGCGGGCCCCTGTCATCGTCATCGCTCTGGGTTTTGGCAGAAACTACATTCTGGGGTCGGGTCGGGTCAGTGAGATGGGATGGGATGGGATGGGGGGGGACTCCAGAGTCAGGCATCACCTCCTGTAGGTCCACAACACCAACATGACCCCACTCTGACATGTGTGAGAAGAGAAGCAGTACAAACATGAAAAAGGAGACTATTTCATTGCAGCAGGAGGAAGTGCTCCACCCTCCCTGTCTGACAACTTAAGGTGCAACTTGCAGAGAAAAATAAAACGACAGTTTGTGTCCTCTATGGCAGCCTCATACAAACAGAGACAGGAGGAGCAGGTACCCGCCAACACACTACACTGACTGCCAGCCAGTTCTTCCTGGTCCACTGTGAGGAGGTGGAGGCAGACACAGGGATGCACCCTCCGGTAAGGCCGTGACTGGCAGTTCAACAGGCAGGTGGGGTTCGAAGTTCAGGGCTCGGGTTAATGTACAAAGATGTGCCTCAGTAGCTCATCAGCAGATGGCCGCTGCTTGGTATCTACAAAGATTCGTCTGAGAAACTCTCGGCAGTGGTCCGACACATGGGCGGGAAGAACCGGGTTAGTGGGCTGGGTGGCAATCTTAAAGATGGCTGCCATGGCCTCAAACTCCGCCCAAGGGGGTCGCTGGGTCAGCATCTCCACAACGGTGCAGCCGACGCTCCTGAGGGCAAAAGTGAGAGGTGCTGCTGTCAGGAGGAGTGGAGGACGTGCCGTAGCCCTGCACAGTGCTCTACCTGGCATCACAGCGGCTTCCTGCTGTTTTTCAGGGTGTATGCTTCAACTCTAAGCAGAATCTTTCTGATGTGCGTTTAGCAGCTGTGAGGTTTAATTCAAGTTACAGACTAGAGATCTGACAAATCCAGTGTTTTATACCTAATATAGATATAAATACACCTATGAGAGCGAGCAGCGAAAGGCAAAGCACACAGGCTCAACCTCAGACATTATACTGAGAGGGGCCATAACTCAGCTGATCAGGAACCAGGTGTAATAACTCACCAGATGTCAGCCTTCCTGCCGTAGCCCTCTCCACTGATCACCTCCGGGCTCATCCAGTACGGGGTGCCCGTCACCGACTTGATGCCTGTTCCTGACAGACAGATGGTCTGCAACCGCCGACTGGCTCCAAAGTCTCCCAGCTTCACATTACCCACCGAGTCACGAAGGATGTTGGCTCCTAAACAAAGAACAGTTTGGTTCTAGCTTTAGCATTTTGGCCTTCTTTTGCAGCTGTAGCCAAACTGTGCTGCACCAAGACCGTAGTGGTCTGGCTCACCTTTGATGTCCCTGTGGACGATCATGTTGCTATGCAGGTAGGAAACGCCCTCCAGGATCTGCCGGGTGTAGCGGCGCGTCACGTTTTCTGTCAGCGCTCCGTATGACTTCAGCTGGTCCTTAATGGAGCCCTGACACCACAAATAGGGAAGGATAATTACAGCAATGTAACTTTGCAGCAGAAAGTCAATGTGTGGATGTGCACTCACGCCGGGCATGTACTCCATGAAAATGGAGAGCGTTCGCTCCATCGTGTCTCGCAGACAGCCATAATACTGGACGATGCGCTCGTGGCACAAGTTCTTCAAAAGCTGGATCTCACACTCCAACGCACTCACCTCCTGAATGGGAGGACACATCACAGACAGTCAACACGCACACTGAGCTGTGACACGCCACAGGCCAGCATCCACAGTGCAAGCAAAGGAGCCCAGGAAGCACACTCTCACCTTGCTGGTCTCAGGACTCTCCGGGTCAAACTGAACCTGTTTTACTGCCAGTTCCCGTCCAGTATCTGCATCATAACACAGGTAAACTTTTCCGAAAGCGCCCTGACCCAGGAGCTTACCCAGCCGCCAGTTGGTCGGAGCACGTGGAGCTGGAAAAGCAAACATCATATATAATCAGATCAGTGGAAAAGAAACGCGGCACTGGCAGATCACATGGACCTGAAGGCTCACAGCGGCTGGGAGGGCTGATGTCCATGACAGAGAGGGTGGGGGCAGCAGTCGGATTGGGGGTAGGTTCGATGTCGCTGCCCTTTCGCGGTCGCCTGGCTGGCCCCGGTGCTTCTTCTACGTCAGGAGTGAAGACACTGCTGCCGCTGCTGGTGCTGGGTGACTGCTCGGTGGGACTGAAGCTGACCGGGGAGCGGAAACCATGAACTTGCGTTCGCCGAGCCCGAGGGAAGGTCTTCCTCCCTGCCGAGCGAAGGCAGAAACAATCGGAAAAGTTAACTCAGTCTAAATCATGCAGCGGCTGTGCACACCAGAATGTATAGCTGTATTACTACCCACCATCGCTGTAGTCCTGAAGGCCAAAGGGAATGCCGTATCTCCGGGGATACGTCCCCCCTTTCCCTGACTTCTCAAACACTGGGTTGTCGTACTCTGCAGTGGAAGAGGAGGACAGTGAAGAACAGCTGATGATGATAGGCACAAAAGAGAAGGTGCAACCTGTTGCTGGGGGTAGGGGTATTGACTTGAGTTTGCTTCTTTATGGCAGAGAGGAAACCCAACAGCAGTGTGGCAGTGTTCGGGGCTTCTCACTTTGTTTTTGCTTTCTTCTATGTCTGAAGCATTTGTCCCCATAGAGTCACAGCAGCAAACACACCTACACATTTACCTGGAAAGTCCTGGTGGTTGTCTGGGTAGCTCTGTGCTCGAGGCATCCTGGACTTTGGGTAGTCACTGCAGGAAGACACCAGAAACTATTTGAGCCTTTGTCATCTGCAGTTTGGTTTCAAATTACGAAGCATCCATCATATTTGCTACATACAGTATGTGTAAACAATATTAAATGATCTGATCATGTACAGAAAACAATCACAACCACAGCAGCGGGTCTGGTATCTGACGTGCCCTAACGCACACTGTGGTTTGACTAACACACAGAGGAGCTGACCTGTCCAGTGGGCTGTCTAAAGACGGACAACTTCCAGACGCAGAGTTCTCCGGGCTGCTCATAGACAGTGGGTCCAGCATCTGAACAGACAGAAAAACAAATCCTTCTCAGTGCAGGACTCTCACCAGCCACCAGTTCTACACATCTCTTATTTTCTGATTCTCTTGCAAATGTAAAAAGTTCATAACCTACAACACAGACATTTGGGTCACAGAGGTGACCAGCGGTTCCTCTAAAAGTCAATTAACTAGTGATGCTGGGAAACCCAGAAGGTTGCTTAGACTCTTACTGGGCTCCGACAGTATTTTCAGAACCCCTACAGACTAACCATCACCCACTGCAACATACAACAGAGTTCAACCTGCTCTCCAGGTGGTCGGTGGGAGTTATAAATCTTTTTTGTGACTCAGTGGATTGAACATCTGATCATCCAGATCATAGAGATCATAGTGGATCATAGAGAAGCCAGCACTACAACAATAACACTGCCAGTTAATTTGATTTTAGAGCCATCAACGAGTTCCTCTGTGACTTCAATGAGTGCTGAAGGGCACAAAGTGGGGCTAACACATTTTACCCCACTACACTGACACGCACACAACACAAAGGATTATTATGAGGGGTCTCCTTAGAGGGTTCACACTGTGCAAACTACACCAGCTGCCCATGTCCACAGGAGCCTGCTGACCTCCGTACTGACGTCTTACGACCACACCTAAGGGCGTGCTGACTGCACGTGTGCGGAAGATGTCCATGTACCCAGACACCTGATACATGTACAGAACCACATGTGCATCCACTGTCTGCACATGAATTTGTTTAAGAGTGTAACAGGGATGTAACATTTCCTCCACAGAAAAACCAGTAACAGAGACAAGGAAAGAGTTCAGTGATACTGGCCTGTTTCTACAAGCTAAAGTAAAGGCCACAGTTATTCATAAAACTCACAGGCCCATGAATATTCACACCAAACTACATCTCCGCTATGGGTTCCTGAAGAAGCAGTTAATGAAAAAGTCAAATGGTTTCTCTCTAAGGCATTAAATGTTCAGGACGTTCTGAACACAGCTAACACAGGCGGATCACATCGGAGCATCCACTTCACCACAACTTGTCCTCATCTGAAGGGGCTACCTGGTCCATGCTCTCGGGGATGAACTCTCCCTCGCTGTTGATGCTGGTGAAGGAGCCGTTCCTCGCCACCTGCTGCAGAGCGTCGGGAATATATCCCGGAGGAGGAGAGCTGCGGTCCGTGGAATGGGAGCCTGATGTTGGTTGGGGAGTGGGGACAGCATTACAGAGAAATATTTTGATTTGTAATACATGTTTCATGAGTCTATTTGATTATACTGTCACTAATCAAGTTGGCTTCTTTCCAAGTGTCTACTTAAAACCAGTTTGGACTGGTGGGACCATATTCACCTATCAAAGCCAGCATAGTCTTATTGTCTGCCACCCTGAAGCCTGTGTTGTCCAGTTCTTCATGGGACAGCAATAGGTCCATACTGGAGGAACAGCTCTGGAGGGAAACAAGTTAGGCTGCTGACACCACATGTGAACAACCACATCATTACAACACATCAAGGACAGTCAGGCAACAACTTCTTGTTTTTCACTTCACATAAATGCACACTATGAAAAAATCTAAAAATAAAATGGCATACATGTCTTTTAAAGCTGTATTTTCTCTCTTTGTGCAATTATACTGCTGGAAATACAGAGAACCAAGCTGCTGTGACACCGATGCTGTTCAACAAGTCAGATAAAATCTCCTGATTGGCAGAAATCCTGAAAACTGTCCCAGGTTTTACATAAATCTAGATCTCGTCATCAGGTAAACAGTATAATAGAGCATCTGGGAGTCAAATCATGCATTACTCTGTCATAAGCGTCTAAGTATAAACTGTGTAAAAGCAGAGAGGGTTCCCCTGCAGCTTGAAAGCCTGCAAGCTGCTGACCTGCAGCACCAGTAGGATCTTCAGGCTCTTCATGTGAACGCTGCGATCCAGCAGCTCCACGGCCTTGTCCAGGTCATCCTGAGTGCTCAGTGGAATCACCAACTGCAAAAAACATTTATATATATATATATTGTTTGTTTGTTTGTTTTGTTTAATACCAGCATTAAAAATGTGCAGTGTGACTCAGGCACGAGACGTCTTTCAGCATCGTACCTCGTTGTTGGAGTAGTGAAGGTCCATCGTCTGACCGAAAGCCACTTTGGCTTTTGACCTCAGGTCGTCCAGCTTGACAGGACGAGGGAACTGCAGGATCCTACACAGAGGAAGAGGGGTCAGAGGTCAGGAGGGCACAGCTACAGGTCTGCACTGAAAACAAAGTCATAAATGTGGGGGAAGCCTTACCTCTTCTCCCCTTTGAACTCGAACTTCACTCTGACGTCGTTCTGTTGGAAACAGAGTGAACAGATCAGATGAGGATCACCAGACCAGTGACTCCAGGTGCCAAATACTTGTTTTACTGAGCACACTTTCAACATCATCCGCAACATAGGGATCGTATTTTATTATTATTATTATAATTATTTTTCTACCTGGGGGTCGTTACAGTGAACACTGAAAAAATAACCAGTACAACCAATCAGTCTGTCTGAGGCCCAGTACTGTGGTTGTTCCCCACGACCCGGTTACCTGGTTCTTGGGCGAGGAGGCTTTAGGTTTGCCCAGGTCTGACAGGAACATGGCGGGACGGCTGGAGCGGTGGAGTTCGGCCAAGTCCTGCATGATCGAGTTCAGCGCCTGCTGCTCATCTGAGCAACAACAACGTTTCAGGTCAACTAACCGATTTTATTGATAAAAATTGATAAAATTAAATTAATGACTTAGTAAAACTGGACAAAAATCCAGATGGTCACAGAAACGTCTCGTTACAAAAAAAACTTAAAAAAGTAAATCTATAAATGTGAAACGCAATTCCAGCTTTGTTACTATACACTTTATTTCCATCTAAATATGGTTTAATTTTGTGTGAATGTGATTAAACTCCAAGCAACAAGTCACAGTTGTTCTTCACAGTAAAATGTGAATGCCTCGGTGGCACTGCACAGTGTTTTCTGCAGCTCTCTTGCAATTTTACAGATTTTCAGAGCCTACAAAAACATGAAATAAATTATTTTTATCATGCAGACTTGCAGCAGTCACACAGTTACAGGCAAACAGACAGAAGCACACAACAGGGTTTACTGTGAGGCACAGATGTCCAAGAAACAAGGTTTAGGGAGTAAAATGGTTCCTTGGGTTGTAGTTTTGATAAAAGACAAAGCTGTTTACTGCCCAACAATATCAGAAACTTGAACCACACATACCCATCATCATGGCACGGTGATTGACCCAGGAGGCCAGGAAAGAGGATTCTCCCATCAAAGGGATTCCTTTCTCCTGCAACAGAAACAGGACAACATCAACTTCACTTCATCAGGACACAAGTTGGAGACTGAAGCTGCCAAATAATCTGCAGATCTGCCAACAGAGGAGCGCTCGCCATGTGAGAGTTTTTTTTTTGTTTTTTTTTTGAATCACCAGAGTTTCTGCAGGCAGCAACATTAAATTTAAGACATTTTCTAGGCCACTTTGAAAGCAATTTAAGGCCTGTTTCACATCCATGCTGCACATATTTTGATGGATATAAAGAAAAATCTGTCCAGTAATTACTTCTAAAGTTCAGTGGTCACTTAGTTTGGTAGTTTTACTACTGTGTGATAAATACAATGTGATAAGAGAAAGATCTGCAACAAGAAACCAATGTGCCACAGGCAGTACAACTGTGTCACCTCAACAAGTCCTCCAAAATGCATAAAAGCATGACAAAGATTAGTCCGACATTATAAAGGTAATATCAACTTAACCACATCAGCAATAATTTTTAACATTTATAACTGTTTAAGACATTTTAAGTCTTTTAAAAAGCTTTTAAGGCCTAAAATTCTGATTAATGTATTTTAGACTTTTTAAGGACCCTGGAAACCTTGGTCACGATATCCACTGAAGCTTAAAAAGAAAAACATGTCTAATGGTCTAATGACAGCGACCTGTATGATGGAAGAAAAGTTCTATGTCCCAAATAAATGGCAGAAATGTGACTTAGTAACTCGCTTTGCTGCTGTCGTTTATAAGTAAAAGGCTCACTGTTTAAAAAAAAAAAAAAGCCATTTCAGAATTACAGTTTGGTGCAGACTGATTATTTACACCGTGGTAGCTGTCACTATGCTGCAGCTAATCAGAGCTGATTTATGACAGTACAGGGTCAGCTGAGAACTGGCTTTCCTTTTCTGGTCATGATTTCCATTATCAGTTCCTCTGCTTATTTTCCAGAAATCTTCTCTGACTGTGACACACTTAGCTGCCAGGTTATTAAACACATCTGTCTGATAAACAGCTCTGCAATAAATCCCATCTTCATGAAGATTATAATGTTCGGTTTCATTGAAACCGTTTCAGAGAAATGCTTCACATACGTGGTCATTCTGGATTCTGTCTCTCACTGCGCTGTTGGAGTATTTGTTTTATTATGAGATGTATTTGCTTTCTAGTATTGGGTCCATCCCACTGATGCCTAATAAACTGGTTGCCTATATACACATATATATACACACACACACATACACATACATATATATATACACACACACACACACACACACACAGATAACTGTGATGCAGTTTTTACAACATCATTGTAAAGTGTTAGTTATTAGCAAGAGGCCTAATGCTAGCAGCACCACAGAGGTTCTGCCTTATCTGAGCAGAGTAAGGCTGGAAATTAACGTGTGGGCAGTCAAGATGGCCTCTGCTGATGGGGAGCTGATTGGATATTGATGAGTCTGATCATCACTGATTGATTACCATCTGTAAGTGACGTAAAATCGGACTACTCCATCACGTTGATGAGAGTGGCCTGCAATAAACATTACATTAACGTATTTTTCAAACAAACGTCTACAAAAACAATACGGCGAGCTGGCTAGCTAGTGTAACCGGTGTGTTAGTAACACTAACAATAATAATGCCGCTATTAGGGCCTCCTATCGTAGATAATTAGCTTTCAATTAACGGGCTAGCATTAGCCAAGTGTCCCCGTAAGCTAATTTAGAATTCAATAACTGTTGCTAGCAAACTCAGCTTTATATGCTATGTTAAAACGTGTTTCGTAAAGGATTTAGCGACTTCAAATATATTCAAAATCCCGATTCTTGCGCGCACACACACACACATATATATATTTATATAGCTGATAAGGGAAGCTACGTGGCTAGCGCTAGCCGAGAGTTCCGTGTAACGTTACAGCTAGCTGTCAGGCCAGGGAAGTTGACAAGCAAAGCTACTGCTAATGTTAGCATAGCTATTCAAAGCTCCACCGCACTGCACGACCGTAAAAAGGGAACCTTCAAACGAACAATAGCTATGAATGACTCAAACTGTTTCATGTTTATCCTACCTGGGGGTTTGTTCGATCTGTATTCACTTCCTCATCCACAGGGCCGGTGACAGGAGCCCCGGGCCCTGCGGAGAGCCTTGGAGGAAGCAGAAGTTTGGTAGTCCGCTCGCAACTTCACTCGAGTCCTGCTGGGCCACGACGACGAGGCCCGACGGCTGTCTGTTTATCCAGCTAGATTTTCTTGAGCAGAAAATTATAAGATAATGGTTTATCCCACGAAATATTTCCCTTTTTGTGCTGTGATTTAAAAAGCCAAGTTAACTGACAGCTTTCATTGTGATGCACTTCACAACCTAGTTGACGGTAGCTTCAGTCGATGTTGCCTCACAGTTGCGTTAAGCTACCGGATGACGGATCGCCAGCTACCGGAAGTGTAACGATTTGGCTGACAAAATAAAAGCACAAAGTGTTTCGCGTTGCAAAAAATCCATAGTTACATTAAAGTATTTTAAGTTGACAGTTATTAACCAGGAATACTATATTTTGTTTCGGCTTACTTAACAGATCTTATCCCTAAAACCTCGTTGGAGGAGTCCAACAAAAACACAACTTGTGTTGGTTTCATTGATCACAGCAAAGACCTGTCAAAGAAATACATCTCTGATAGGGTTCATATTCTCTGGTGTCAGAGGGCACACCGTTTGTCTGAAAACATATTTATGAAATTCGCAACATTTGTTGTGTTTTTACCTGCTAGCAAATAATTTTCATCACTTACTGTATATATGTACAACATAAAAATTCTAAGACTCACTTTAAATTTAATATTGCAGTATTTGTATTTGTTACATTTGTAAACACATAGATAAAACAGACGCATATCTAGATGCCAAACTCTCGATTTATGTACATAACATAAGAAAAGCCTAAATTAAATAAAATGTGGATCCCTGTTTGTGTTTTAAGAAATTAAACAAATGCATTTCCAAAATTAAACACTAGGCCTATTGTGCATGTTTGGTGATTTGTGAATAAACTACCCTGTAATGAAGGTATACAATGAAATACACCCTTCAGTACATAAATTCAAAATCTGTAGTAGGCGAACTGTTGTGAGATTACGTTACTATTTCATCAAAGATTTGCAATAAAATTAATACAATGAAAGAGATAGGTGATTATTATTATTATTATTACTTTACTTTTCCAAAAAGTGCAGTTCACAAGAATATTACTGAATCAAGAGATTAAAAACATTAAATATGTTATGCCGGATTTAAATGTATGGTAATGGTCTGTCTTCAGTTTACTGGTTACACAAGATGTTTCCTCTTCCATATGTTACTCACATTGTATATACTTATTGTTTGACTTTAAATTTGTCATATATAAACCTAAATCATTTGTTGTTTAAATTTTATCTAACTTTTTTGTATTTTAATTATATGGCGGCAATTATATATTGTAACATTAATACCACAGCATTTACAGCCTAAGTCATTTAAAACCAATATGGCTTTGAACTGAGAGAACATCTGAAATAGTTTCACAAACAGATGAAAATTCCCTGTAGGTGTCAGGAAATATAGAAACCATTAGCATTAATACACTATATACAACATATATACCATGATGCTAATTTATAAAGAACATGAATATATTTTTAGGCAAGATTGATTGATCATTTTCATTCATTTATTGTATACTAAAACTATTTTAAAACATAATTTCACTGGCGATAGTTTCGCTCTAAAATGGTTTTACTTTGGAAGAACTGATGCACTGCGCAATTTCCGGTTGATGTCGCGTCTCACAACATCAGGCTAACGCTGAAAGCTAACGTTACAGCTATTGTCAGTACATTTTTCATAACACACAGAGGGAAAACATGTCAGACGCGGTAAGATAAACATTTTAAAGAGCGTTTAGTGGTTATTGCAGGGAAAGCAAAGAGTAAAATGAGTGTGTTGTGGCTACTGCTTCGTATCTTGTTATCTAATATGCAAGCTGTTAGCTCATGTAGCTTCAGGCCCATAGCTTACTGCTTATTTAGCCGTTTAGCTTAGCAGCTAGCTTTCGTTTCATTTCGTTTTTACAAAGTTTTGTTTTGGAATAACAAGCGATACCAGCATTGTGAAACAGAAACATATCCATGTGTAATTTTTGGTGATGGAAACAAATTTGCGTAATTAAGCCTTCAGGCCTGTTTGAAACGTGTGTGATGTGTAACATGTTCTCTGTGGCTAGTGTTTTGTTTATTATTTGTTGTTTTTAGGAGACGAAACCCTCCAGCCAAGACGGGGGTGATAAGAAGGATGGAGAGTACATCAAGTTAAAAGTGATCGGCCAGGTGTGTGTGGATACATGGCACTGAGCTTCACATGACAGTATTAACATGTAGATTCGTCGAATGCACCTAGACTCTGTCCATTCCTTTTGCTTGTTTGCACATTACTTATTTACTTTGTTCTCTCAGCCTTCTATTGTTTACTTGCCCATTGATGCCTTACATAAGGCCATGTACATACAAATTGAGAGCTGCTGTACCAGAGTCAGATTCCTTCTGTGTCCAACACACCTGGCTAATAAAGCTGATTCTGATTCTGACATAGGAATATATGGCATTGACAATGGTTGTTGGTGTGTTACTTCTCACTACCAAATAGGACTGAACTAGAAGCACTGATTTGACATGGAACCAAGATTTTAGGGTGAATGACCGAGAGAGTGTTTGTGTGTGTGCTAAATACACGGGGGGAAGTATATATAGGTAGTGTTACTTGTTTATAGGTGGTCAAGTTGGGGTGTATAGTCTACAGGCTTTCTGCACTGTGGTAATGGAGTTCAGTGTAAAGAATGGAAACACCGGAGCTTTCACTATCTGGCATTTTTCTCTCAAACTGTACAAGTCCCAGTATGTGACTTAGCGTTACTCGCACCCTTCCCCAATGCTGCTTTTTCTTACACAAAGTGTGTCATTTCATAATCTACAAAAATGTACCAACATTTCTACTGTTTCTCATCATCCCTCCGATTCTGCCCACAGGACAGCAGTGAAATACACTTTAAGGTGAAAATGACGACACATCTAAAGAAGCTGAAGGAGTCTTACAGCCAGAGACAGGTACAAGGAGTGTGGTGTCCAGCCATGAAGAAAGCATTAATATATACCTCATTTATTACATAGTTTTAAAATTGTGTGTGTTCCAGGGCGTCCCAGCAAGCACGCTAAGGTTTCTGTTTGAAGGACAGAGAATCGCAGACAACCAAACTCCTAAAGAGGTGAACTCATCTCCCTTGCTTTAAGCATGCATCCGTCTTTTAGCTGCAGTTTCTGCTGATCCAAAGTGTCACTTGTTTTTTCTCTTGGGAAACTAAAATAGAAGGACACAGTAAGAATCTAAGTTAAGTTAAATGTTACTAAAAGGCGTCTCTCTTCTGCTGTGTGTTTATCTCAGTTGGGGATGGAGGATGAGGACGTCATCGAGGTGTATCAAGAACAGACCGGTGGACTTTGGAACAATTAAACCTCCCACATTTCTATTTTTTTTTTTCTTTTTTCTTTTGTACTTTATTTTTTATGTATATGTATGTGTTTTTGTTCAGTTTCAAACCATTTGGATCAAAAGCGACTATCAGGGCTTCCACATGTGAGGGCAGAGGCTGAACAGGCCGGGGTAAGGACAGGGACAGGACAGCAGCATCCACCCACATTCACACAGACGAGCAGCTTGTTTTCCTTTAGTGTTTTTTATTAACCAATCTGTCTGGGGTGCCAGCAGCAGCAGCAACTAATGCTGCATCAAAATGACTAGTCCACCAACAAAATCACAGATACAATATTATAGTGAGGGCACTCAAACAGCTTTGTTTCAGCTTTTTTTTTTTTGAAAGGAGAATGAGTTGAAAATGCTTTTTAGAATGTAAAATGTTTCCCACCATTTGCTCCTTGGTTATTTCAGTATTCTGAAGCCAAACAGCTCAATATTTATTGGTTTATCTATTAGGTTTTCACTGGTCGTTTTACATTACAGCAAAAAAAAGGCAATGGAGATGTTTTAAATGAAATTGTGTAATTACTGTTCAAGTTTAAATACCTAAATGTAAGTGTTCCCTGATACTGAGGATGTTGTCAGTTTGATTTTTAGGTCTCCGACAAAGTCGCTCTGTGCCACAGCTACTTTGGCTCCAGGCACACTGGGAGATTTTGGGCCTGAGCGCAGACGTTCATGACCCACACCTGTGACTGCCGTAGTTACTTAACAAAACATGGACTCTGCAGACAAAACCAAGTTAGAGAAACTGAAACAAAGCTGTGACAGCAGAGCAGATGTTTTCAATCCTGATTTTGGTTGGACTGGTCCTTTAAACACTGGCACCAACTTGCATTCCCTTGCACAGGACTTCACTGTTTTCAGAAGTGTGTCACACATCAAGCTGCAGTTCATTTGCACACAGAGTCTTAACTTGGACATGTGCACACAAGCAGCTGCATCACAGCACAGCCTCTGATTGAAAGCCCCTCATGAAGAAAAGGCATTGTCACCATTCATTTCTGTAGATTTGACTAATTGACATTTACAACCTCTGCGCCATGTTGGACTGTAAAGTTCTGCTCATAATTGACCTGAGATTGGAAATTTTTAAATAGTTGTACTTGTATATGTTGTGTTCAGTATTAGAACATTTGAATGATATGCCACATTATCTCCAGTGTCGTCCTTTATTTATATTGGAGAGTTTCATTCTGTCATAACTCAATATATACCCATTATGGAAATCCTCTGCTTACTGACGGTCACAGCAGTTTTAACTCACGATTCTGGCCTCCAGCAGTTTGTGCAAGGAAACATCAGTAGTCATCTCCAAACGGTGACATGAAAGTGCAGCATCGGTGCTGGTTTTTAAAGCTTTTCTTTTTGCAATGAAACTCTTCATCTGTACTGTATGAAGTTCCTCCAGAAAGTGAAGATCAGCAGCAGCCCCAGACTCTTATTTGTGAGGAGGAGGAGTAGAGATACTGGCAAGATGGATGAAATAACCAAGCAGAGGAATCAGTGTGGTTATTTCACTCTTCTCTGACACTGCTAGGGTAAAGCTGCAGTGGATGATGGGTAAACTGCACCTCTGGGACTTGAGTGCTATCAGAAACAGGCCATCAGCCTCCACTGCCATACATCATGAAGTAAAGGAAACACTTATTAGTGAGTCTGACCACAGCTGTCATTTCCCAGAGGTGTGGGGGATATATCCTCCACCTGACTGTGCATCAGTGAAGGGCTCCTAGACTCCAGCTACCCCCACCCCCCCACCCCACAGGTAGGAGGGCTGCGGTCAGAGCTGTAACACTGATCTCAGTGAGGAGAAGGGACTATTCATCACTAGAGGAACATTGATACAGATGGTTTGAAATTCTGGAGATGAGCTTTCTGCTTTTTTTTGAATAAAATATTTAAAGAAAAAACTGCATTGCATTGTATATTTTTATTTAGTGCTTTCTGTTCTATTTTGTAACTAGTACTTTTTGTGAAGGAACAGAAAAGTTACACCACAGTGGCCTCAGAGGATTCACTCTGCAAACCATGTCATCTGGATACAGTCACCTGTTTTAACCATCAGCCTACACACAAAGTGAATACGTTAGAAGATTTTACAACAAATTTACTAAATTCTGAAATCTTATTTACAAAAGTATTCGGAGCCTTAGCTCACTGCTCTGGCAGGAGCTGCAGCTTCCAGTCTTCCTGGGGAGGTCTCACCTAGACTCTGCCCGTGAACTCCACCTTCAGTCTCCACAGATGTTCTGTACTGTAAGACATGATGCAGGCATTCAGGGCAGTCAGAGCTGCTCGTCAAGTTCATCTAAATATGGAAAAGATGTTTATTTCACATTAAGCTAGCAGACATCTCAGCATGCATTGTTTGAGAGACGAAACTCTCCACACATTCAACTCAGTCCTGGTTGTTTCTTTTCATAGTAATAATAATGGTGCAACTCATGATGAGGGCATTGAATTCAGTACCTACCCTCATACACATTTAACAAAGTCACTGGGAGCCAGTGGTGGAAGAAGTACCCCCATCTTTTACTCCAGTAAAAGCAGCAATACCACAGTGTAAGGATACACCACTTGAATACAAGAACACTGCAGCTTACAAAACATCATGTGTCTGCAGCAAAAGACAATATTGTCACATTTCTGAATGCTCTAACAAATCTGTCATGGCTGCAATATTAACACACTGTGCCTTATTTTACTTGTTCCAGCATCGAGGCAGTCTCTGTATTGTCACACAGTCTCAGGCACTGCATCAAGATTGTTTGGTGTCAGGAGATGCCATTCATAAATAAAAGCAATCATTTGTAATGCACGAACAGCTGTGTCAGTTGTAGAAACAGTTGTTTAACTACAGTCTCTATAAATTCTGTGTGAACAGGGTTTTTTTTTTTCTGTTCATGAAGATGAAAACTCATGTTGCAGCTCTTCAGAGGTGAGTTTCAGTCCTAAATGTCCAAACCATCTGATCACAGATGTTCATGACTCTCAAAAGCTGTGTTGTCCTTCCCCCTGGCACCTGTCCCAACCCCTGGACCATCAGTCCCAGGCTGTGCAGGCCTGTCCTGCTGTAGCTGGACCCTGGGCTGCAACCTCACTGGTAGCTTGTACATACAGAAAATAATCCCAGACACGACCATCAGGGTTGTTCCCACCATTCCCACACCGATACCACAGCCCACATTCTGCGACTCTGGGGCTTGAGGCATTCTGAAGTCAGGGGGAAAGCTGATGGTCTGATTAGTCACCACTGAGTTCAGGTTCCACAGAAGAGGAATGAGAGACATCAGGGCGGCCAGCAGACACAGTGCTCCGGTGGTGAAGAATGATAAGTTGATCAGTGGGTTCTTGTCCATCCCAAAGTAGATGTTTCTCAGGGCATAGACCCCCACAGCATTCCCACACAGCCCCAGCAGCAGAGACAGCACCATGAGAACCTGACCAGCCACTATCTCTGGCGGTGTGAAGGCCTCGCTCAGGCTGATGTACTGGCAGTGCATGTCCTTGAAGCCAGGGCTCACCAGGGTGTGGCTGTTGAAGCAGGCCTTCCAGATGCCCACCCAGGCTACACCGGAGCTGATGACCGCCCTGTCCGACACCTTCCAATCCCTCCACTGGACGAGTCCCATGGCCACAGCGGTGAGAGTCCAGCCCACACAGCTCAGCCACAGGGCCGCGAGCTGGGCGTGGGTGGTGTAAGCCAGGTACGTCATAGCAGTGTAGCCACCCAGGAAGTCCTGACCCCACCCAGACTGGGCCTCATCAGGAGCTCAGCCAGAAGAGCTGAGACCTCTGCTGCTCTTCTTGCTCTGGTTTACTCTCTCTGCACCTCTTGGGTTTTCTGTGTTTTCCTGTTGCTCCTTTGTCACCGGGGTGACCTGGCAAACAAATAGCTGGAGCTCCCTGTGAGAGGGCAGAGACACAGGTGTTGAGGAAAACAAACTGTCACCACCAGAGACTAGCTTTTTCTCACTCCAACCATCATACCCAGTCATTCTGTACTGCAGTGAAAAACCACACAGACAGGAACTTCCTCCAAAAATACATTAGTCAGCTGTAAACAGATTAAAGTGCAAAAATATAAACTTTTCAACTTGGTGTAAAAATCAGGTCATGTGAGGCTGAAAGATGGAAAACACCCGTTCAGGTTTGTACAACCCAGATTTATGATGGACTGGTTCAGTGACGCTTGTTCTACTGCAGTTTGTCCACATTTGTTCACCATCTGTTGTTTGAGTTTCATAAAAATGTGAAGCTGTTCAACACACATTTAGACCCACAGTGGCATCCCAGGTAGTTTCATATATTTAACTCCCTTTTTAGCATAATCATGATGCAAAGCTGTTTCCACCACCAAGTTCTGACATTACCCGTGACAGCAAAAATACTTAAAATAATTAGGGAACAGCTTTAGAATATTTCTAATAAACAGACCAATAACTATCATGTTTATTTTTTCTTTTACAACATATGAATAAAGAAATATTTTATTCTTTATAGTTTAACTAGAGAACACAGCACAAGGGGAAACGAGAAGAAAGGCACAAATATGAAAAAGAGGTTTGAAAGACATTTTTCCAGTTTCACCCCTTAAAATGTAAAAGATCAAATATACAGTAACTTTCTTCTGTTTAAAACATTCTGCAAAAAAGGCTTTGTAAACTTACGTACTGAATGATAAAAATGACCTCGTGACACCAGATTACAGCAGGATGAAAACAACTGATCCAACATGATCCCATCACAGACTCTCACGGTCACGTACCTGACGGTTGAGACCGTCTTCCAACTGTGTGAGAGAAAACGGACTGATGAGCTGGGACAGGAGAGTTTTTATCCACAGAAGCAGCTCAGCATTTCCTTGTCTGGCCTTCAGTAACCTCGGGACAGTTTCCCGTCATGACTGTGAATTGTAAATGATTGACAGATGTAGGCTGTGATGGAGAGACAGGATGGACCGTGAGTCAGCTTTATTTCTACCTTTAATTCACTTTTTATCATACACTGCTTCACTGCATTTAAAACTGCAGTACAAAACCTGGTAGAGTCTCCATTTTAGTTCTAATGAATAAATGTAACCATTTAAAAACTCACTAGTATAGCTGCAAAACAGTGACTCTTTACTTAAGTGCTAATACCACAGTGTAAAAATACTTTGTTAGAAATACTATATTCAAAACGTAAAAGCACAAACCTATCCTACATTCAAAACGTAAAAGCACAAACCTATCAGCATCTGAATACACTTAAAGTACCAACAGTACTCATCCTACAGAACGGCCCGTGTCACATTAATGTCTCTGATACTGGATCATAGTGACTGATCCATTACTGTGTTCATCACTTTAATGCTGCAGCTGGTAAAGGTGGAGCTGATGTTAACTACCTTATATACTTATACTGTGAAGTACTTTACATCCTGCTGGGTAGCTGGTGGATTTCCCATCAAGATCAATAAAGTCTGATGATTCTACTGTGTTTGGTTTGATTCATCCGATTCTGAAAAGGAAGTGGAGCTATGAGATTCATGTAGTGCAGTAAAAAGTACATGGTTTGACATTTCTGACATTGACTGAAGTCACAGTATGAAGTAGCAGGACATGGAAATACTCAGGTAAAAGTACCTCAAAACTATACTTAAGTGCAGGACTTGAGTAAATGAGTAGTTCAGTAGATCAGAATATTTGTTCTTTATTGATAACTAAAACTAAAGTCATGGCTCAGAAAATAAAAGGAATTAAGATAAACGTGGTTCGGCGCATGCAGTGTGTTAAAATACTGTGTGTGGAAGGTGGAGCCTGAAATTTGTAGAGCTTGGCACAGAAACGGGACACGAAACATTCCGATCTTATACTACTGCTGCAGTAAAAGTGGCTGATAGCTCGGGGCTGTAAACACGTGTTGAGCAACAGATGAATATACGTCATCACAGATCATAAACAACAGGAAGTGCATCTGTGTTTCACCTGATTATGAAAGACTTGGTGGAAAACACACGAATGGGCGACAGTTGAGAGGACACTCCTGACTGAGTGGCAACACAAGCAGCAGGGACATGATCAATCAGCTGATCATTGTCCTGATGATGTTTATTCCCAGAATGTCAGACACTGGGACAAAGTCCCACTGACTCTCCAGAGCCAAAGGTGGTGTCTTCATGTCTTGTTGTGTTCAAGCAACAGATCCACAGAGGCTCAGCTGATTCTCATGCCTGACAAAGAAAAGCATCAGCACCAGTGTTCGTGCTGTTCTGGGATCAGATGGAACTGGGCCCAAGCAAAGCAAAGCAAACAATACATACATGAACACCTTCTGTCTGTGTCCACAGTCACAACCAGGCAGCAGTTTTGTTTTGGGGCCCTAAACTACAGATGTGACTATATGATCATGTCCACACCGTTAGTGTTGACTATGTATCTAATGAAGGCACAACAGGCCCTGATACAGCAACCAGAGCACCACTGGACACAACTCATCTCACCTGCTACAGAAAAATCAGTATTTTACTTTACTGTAGTGTTGAGAGAAGACAGTGATGTAAACCCCATCTGTAACATTACAAACCAAGATGTAGTTCAGTGTCGGTCCTATTAGAGGCTTCAGTGTGTTGACTGACATCAGTGATGCCCCGACACATGAAGGAGACACAGATCTTTTAAGATTTCTCACTCACAGGTATCACTGGGCTCCAGCAGAACAAAATGAACCCAACCTGATTTGGGCTAATCAGAAATAAAGCAAGCAGACAAAAACTTTAACACAAAGAGCAAGAGAAACCAGTAGATAGCACATGCCGGCTGCCAGAGGTGAAGGAGAGGAGGCTGCAGCCGCTCAGCTCCCAGAAACCAGACAGGACAGCTCACCGGCAGCAGGTTCAGTCTGCTCTTTCATCTGCTTCACCATCTTGCAAAGCAGAACACTTGGGAAAATAAGCTCTTGGCTCTGTTAGCTTAGCACAACAAACTGCGAGAAGGTGGAAACTGGAGGCTGGGAAAACACACTCCAGATATTCATAATGTGATAATTCTAAATATCCACAACATATCGTGACAATGCAAATGAAAAACGCACAGATATTCACAGTGTATTTGTGGATTTCTGTCTTGAGACAACAGACATTATGTTGAGTAACTTCCTACAATCGCCTGCTGTGACTGTAAACAAAAGACAAAACATGCAGGTAGTGCGTCCGAAGACACCGATGCAGCCAGAGCTTGCACTCAACACAAAAGACCCCAGCAACGGCCAATTGCTTTGTCCCTGCACTGTAGGTGTGAACTTTTCTTAAAGCAAGTTAAAATATAACTTGGCTCCAGAGAATTCTTCAAACCACTTGATTCCATTTGGAAACAGACTGATGTCCTGTTGCTGAACTGGCTGATTTTGTCTCGTTCTACTAAAATAATAGATTCATTACTGACACAATGACTTGATGAAATGGATGCTAACCGGTCACCTACTGTGTGTTTGCTCAGCTTCGTCAGTTTATTGCTGAAATTGGTGACGGAGTGCACTGCATACAGGAGGTGTGGGATAAAGACACACAGAGAGAGGCTCCTGAAGGGCCACAACACAGAGCCATAGATGAAATCCTCAGAAGCAAGAGCAACACCTGCGCTGCTGGAACAAGTTAGCATTGTCATAAGATCTTCACCGTCCAACTCTGAGAATTAAACACAGGAAGGAGCTGCTCGTAAGAGCAGGACAGACGAGATGCAACACTGGAGTCTGTAGCATATTGGAATCAAACTCTTCATTTCATCTGCAAATGCAGTACATCGTGAGCACAATTAAATTAAACTATTAACCAAAAGCCACAATAAATTACTAGGAAATAATTCAGAACTTGAACATATGTGATTATAACTGATTACAAAGCAGCCACACAGGGCGGGGGAGCGATGTTACAACACAACACCTGAGAAACAGATATTAGAGAGATGCCATGTGGTCTGTGCCAGCAGTTGGTTCCTTCTGTTTCGTGTTCCTGTTCGTCTCGAGGCCTGTTGACGTACAACAGTACAGGATCAGTAAACTAATACAAAGTGATCCCAGGTCTCTGTTTGAGCCGAATCTATGAAACGTTTTTGCAGAATGAGCTTGACAACTGTGACTGACAAGACGCCCCTGACAATCAGTCTTCCAGTTCCAGTGCAGCTGAATCATCTTTGTCTTCAGTCAAAGAGAAAACACTTGTTCCATCATTATCAGCCTGTTGGGACCACAGGGCCTTCTTCTGCAAGCCAGAAAACCTTTTAGAGGATTCACCTGGGAGGATTTTCTTTTCATGTTCTAATTCTGTTCTGTAGTGAAACAGGTGTTTTCTCTCTTTGTCATCATTTCCTCTGTACAGTGTCCATTTATACATCACAGTTAATTACAAGCCAAAGTCCTGATCTAGTTATTGTACAAGCACCTTTTAATCAGTCTGACTGACTCACGTCCTTAGTTCAGGGGACTGTCTCCTAAAAATTCTGCTCCTGTACAGAGCAACAGCAAACATGTTTGTAGGAAATTTGATCGACAGCTGGGTCACACTGCAAGGTGCCATGCCTTCTGAAAGAATGATTCACTACATTTATTAGTGGACCAAGTGCACGACAGTCTTGCCACAGACTGGGGTTTGACTCCAGAGTCCTGTCTGTGGTTGAGAAAAGTCGCTGCTGAGTTCATCTCTGTTAAACCAGAGCACAGATCGGTATCAGTGAATCTGCAACACATCCTGTAAACAGAAAACTTTCACAGTCAGTGCAAAACTTGTTTGTGGCTGAAGTTCATCTGTGTGCAAACAGTTTCAGAAAATAGGTTTGGAGATGTGGAGAGACTGAACATCATCTCAGCCACTATTCAGATGCCTCCTGCTTCCTGTGTGAAGCAGCCTCGGAGCGGCGGCCTCTGCTCCAGCGGCAGACTGTCCACCAGGCACTTCAGCTGCTCCTCACCCAGCTTGATCTTGTCGTCCAGCTTGCGCTGCTCGATGATGAGCGCAGACTTCATCTTGACAAAGTGGCGGTAGTCATCCAGGCTTTCCGCGTCCAGGTGGGCCTCCATGATGCTGGAGACGAGTCGTTCCCGACGGTCCAGATTCTCCTTCAGCTCCTTGGCGTCTTCATGTTGCCGCATCAGCAGCTTGCGCTTCTCCGTCAGGGTTCGCTAATGGAAGAGGGATGTTATTCAGTAAATCAGGCAGAGAGAATGAGTGACACTCTGAACAGATTAATGTGCTTGGGGTGGTTACCTTCTCCTCTGGAGGGGCTTCGTCCTCCAGGCTGTTGAGGGCATTCTCTACCCGGGCGAGTCGCCCTGACAGTGAAAGCAGCAGGCTCACCACTTTGTCCAGGTCGCCTACGAACATGCGGAACTTGTCGAGCTGATTGGGCTGACAGAGGTGCTGCACGGTGGCTTCCACTTCGTGGCCCAGAGCCTCGTTGTCCTCCACATCCTTCTGCAGGCTCTGCTGTGCCTCCCGCAGCACCTCCAGCTTCCTTGCCAGGCTGGAGATCAGCTCTTGCTGGAGAGGATTAAAGAAACAAATAGATTCACTCACACTGCTTCTCTGCATGCAGAACTAAAAGCAAACTATGGCTCTGTTCACAGCTTTGTGTTGCTGCTTCCCATCCATGTGTGTCAGTGCCATGCACCCAGCTCCAGTGCTGAGTTACTTAACTGCCACACATGCACAGATGTAACTGAAAGGTGAGCCATGTGCGTACAATAATAACAACCAGGTTGTGTGTGCAACAGTCAAACGGACCAGTTTCCTCATCAGTTACAATATGTTCCTTCCAGTTTGGTCTGATCAGAAGCTTCTCCATAAATGTCCACCACATGTGAAACGTCCAGGTCTCTCCACTGACCCCATCGTTGTCTTTGCCCTCCTCCATGTTTATTGTTACTGGTCTGTGAGGGGCCGACGTGGAATGATAACAGGCCGTAATGTGCAGAGGAGGAGATGTTAAAACGACCACAAGGATTCTGATCTGACCGTTCTGACAACACTCGCACAGTTAGAGATCAGTGAACTACAGAGCCTTAAAGCAAACACATCTGTATCTCAGCAGGTGAGTTTTACCTTTTTAAAGGCCAGGTCGACGTCCAGCTCATCCTCAGAGTCCTGCTCCTCTAGTTGCTCCTGCATGTCCTTCATCTTGATGAGGAGCTCGGCTTTGGGAGCAGACGTGTTGTAGTAGGAGGAGCTGGGGACCAGGGAGGCTGCTGCCAATGCAGACACATCCTCGTCCTCCCTCCTGAGGGGAGGAGACCATGTTGAGTTTCAGCTGTATCAGACATATCAGGTCTGATTGTTACTGGACACAGGATGGTTCTGATTACATACACTGACAAACTGACGGAGACTTGGGTAAATACTGAACCGGACTGGATGTACATCAATGACAAATCACATTATTCTATCATTAATCCCAATAATATGCAAAACTCGTATGTCAACTTGCTCCTCATGATTCTAACTGCACTGGTCTGTTACAATACACTGTCGGCAAAATAAAGTTTACAACAGGAAGTGGGGGGAAAAAAAGCAGTAAACTGCTGGAATCTACGTTTGTTTCAAAAATTTGATTTGATTTCATACAGAAGTTTCAAATGCAAAGCAATACATCAGCTTGGCAGGCACATGTGCACATCAGTTTAAACCAGAGGATGCGATAGCAATATATGACCAGCAGAGGGCAGGCTGGGCTAAGAACAACTGAACTGGGCTCACGCTTTCCTTTCTGAGACATGGACCTTTGGAGTCATTTTTTCAGTGAAAAGCAAAGCAAATAGACGTAGGCTGCTAGTGCAGTAATATGACAGGATAACTAATGAAAATCTGCTGGGAAAGAACCTATTTGCTCTGCAGACAGCTGAACCTGCCACTGAATTGCTCCATGTCCCACCTGTCGTCACTCCTGGGTGATGAGGTGGGCAGCCTGGAGCTGGCAGACGCCCTCCTGCGCTGGTGAGCTCCCTCCAGAATCTGCTCCTCCGGGGGGAAGAGTCCCTCCATCAGGTCCATGGTGGTCTTCCTGCCACTCTGGTCCAGGACCTCCACTAGAGACTTGTCTCTGCCCATAATGTCCCTCACGAGCTCCTCCTCCTTTGAGCACTGAGTCCCTGCTGTGCTGAACTCAGGGGCCGGATCCTGAGGGGTTTGGCACGTGTAGGCACTGAACAGGGAGAGGGGCGGGGGCTCCATAGCTGCCTGTGAGCTGATGTAAGGAAGCGGCTTGAGGGCGCCACAAGCCTTGGGATTCTGGTGCAGGTGGGCTCGTCCCTCCCGATGAGAGGTGCTCTCAGTGTGCACGATCCTGACGGGGACCTTCCTCACTAGACTGTTCACATCCATCAGTTGTGCTCGCTGCGACCCATTGTCTGACCTGAAACACAGCTCAACATCAAAGCCAGAGGTTACACATGTGGAAGCCTAAGAAGTTGATTCATCTCACCAGCTATTTTACTGTGAAATTCATTTTACAAGAGAGAGTGTAGTTTTTGTCTGATATAAGCTTTACAATTGAAGGAGTCCCAGGAGCTGCTGATACAGTTCTACAGAGGAATTATCAAGTCTGTTCTCTGCGCCTCCATCGCTGTCTGGTTTGGCTCAGCAACCAAACAGGACAAGTACAGACTCCAGCGGACAGTCAGGACTGCAGAAAGAATCATCAGTGCCAGCCTTGTTGTGTTTACCTTGAGCTCTTATCTAAAGCCTCTTCCTCTGGGACACCAGGGTCACAGCTCTACATAACCAGGGACAGAGAGGAGGCCTAAGCTGCTTACCTGAGTCGCAAGTCATCCTGCAGGGGCACGACCGGGGGTTTGTCAGTCAGTCTCAGCGGTATGAAGTGCGGTGAAGGAGACCGAGGAGGATCTGCCACAGGAACAGACAGAGCTGCTGTCCAAGGTGAGAATGCAGATGAAAAGGAGGAAGGACGCAACAGCTGCTCCTTCTCCTGCTCCTTTTCTTCGCCTCCTGTGCTCACGTTTGCTATAGACGTCCTGCGGAGGTGAGGGGAGCTGGCCAGGGTGGGGCCAGGAGAGAAGCTCAGGGCAGGAGCCTGCTGCTGAATGTCAGAGCTGGAGCTGGACGGACGCTGGGGCACTGTCAGCTCCGCCTGGGCGCCAGAGAAGAGTTCCTGGGAGGAGGATGTGGTTTCTGGGCCTAAATGCGGCCTGGGCGGTGGCAGGAGGCCCTGGGTTTGTGCAGGCTGGGCTGGGTGCTGGGAGCCAGGGCTGAGAGGGCCAGAGATGGTGGTGTGGGAGGGACCGGCTGGGTCTGGTTGGGTCCTGTGGTCAGGGAGGCCTGGGATGGGTGCCGAGTGTGGGCTGTGGTCGGGCTGGTAGCACTGCCTGCCCTCTGCCTTCCCTCTACAGGTCACAGTAAAGACAAATGTGATCAGTACCTGACAGCAGCAGCTGCAGACAAAAGGACGAATCTTTCACAGCAAAACACTGTTAGGGGACAGATCTGAAAAAGCCAAGCAGAGAAATAAGATTCCACTTGTCTGAAGAACTCAAATATACAAGTTTGAAAATATGACATTGTATTTCAGGTTCTGAGGCCAAAAGCTTAGAGACGTTTGTATGCACACTGGCAGCTGCACTCTGTGTGTGCTGTGTGTGTTCAGTGGGCATCAATTCAAACACCATAAAGACAACATGAGTCAGGAGATGGTTCCTGGCTGCTGAAACCACAGCTCTGTGTGGGAAACCAGGGCTGCAGCTCTAAGCTCATGTTCCACAGCTGGCTGAAATGAAAGATGGCATTCAAGACTGAGGTTTGTCTGTTGTTGTTGTTGTTGTTTACTTGGCAAATGCCACCATGTTTACTCTACTGACAGGATGTCTGACTGGTTGACTCACACCGCATTGGAGGTTTACAGGCTTTAGAGTTGTGCCACTAGGAAATCTGAGCCACGAGGCTGGATTACAAGGGCAGGGTCGGACTCCAACAAACACACGCCAGCCAGTGTTTTTACAACGATGACATCACTGTTACAAGCATTACTTTAACTATGACATCTGGGTTTCCAGTGCAGAATGTTTGGCCATGTTTTCTGACAAGTCCAGTGGTTACATAACATCTGTTTATTTGAACTGAAAAATAACTCAATTACCAAGAGGAAAAATTCCCAGTTTAACTCAAACCATACTGGATTCTCTTCATTTACAGTCAGAGGTTTAGTTTCTCTACAGTGATCAACCTGCTGGATCACGTGGCTGATCAACAGTTTGAACGTGCAGGTATTAAGAGTAAAAACTGAAGTTGCCTCTAGTTTTCTGTGGTGTACTTGCAGTAAGTGTTGATATAATCTGAGACAAAAGGATACAGAAGAGAATCGGCAGAGCAGAGTTCAAGTCTTTTAAGCTTAACTGCAGGAATCAGGCCAAGTTTCTAAATGTGAGGCTGTTTTAGGTTCAGATTCCTTTTATGTCTTAAACTCATCATATTCAAATTAAAGTGAGAAGGAAACACAATAAGTATCTTTAGGGCATTGTAATGCACGGACGAAGGGCTCTGGTTAATGTGAACATAAAGCAAAATGGCACAAATGACCTCAGACTTCAGTGGCTGGAATTTTATCTTGTTCAAACACCACCAACTAAAAAAGGCTTCAGTAACTCTAGGATGAAGGAATTTGGGCAGATAAGATCTCGCTGCAGGGTTTGCTGACACATTTCACACTAACAAAAAGGCTAAAGCTGTGGATTCATTTCACCATCTGGCCTAGAAAACGGGCCAAAACACCGAGGGTGGGAACGATACACTCTCCACCTGCAGTAAATCACCTGTATGTGCACAAAGCTGAAGATCTGGGTGCAGTTTACTCCAGGAGTCCAGGAAACCCTGTTAACCTCAACAACAGGACGCGAGGCTGGAACCAGATCAGCTCTTTTCAGCCCTGGGAACCTGACCCAGCAAACCATGACCTGCTCTCTTCTCACCACTCAAAACACTTACTACAGTCACATGAAGCATTTCTTTCGGGTACATGTCCCGAGCAGTCGACAGGTTAGACTGACACAGGTGGAGACAGACCTTTCTTTGAACTGACAAACATGCTACCTGCTGTTTCACTAGGTTTTTAGTTCTGTTTTCTTTTTGAGCTCGGTGTCCTACCCTTCCAGGGTTAGGTGTCCTATCTTACACATTGTGCAAACAAAGTAATTTCACCTGGTGGTGTAACCGCTCTGCTGAGCCCGAGGGTCTCTCCACAATGACGGAAAATTCTGCAAAAGAGAAGTAGTATCAGTTGTTTGCTCAAACACTTCAAAAGAATTATGTTTACATCGTGACCTCTGGTGGTCCAGCAAAATGAGTACTAGTCTGTCAAGAGCAACAAAAGATTTTTTGAAAACCAGACATCCATCATTCAGGATTATGAAAACCCCCACCTGTGCACAAACGTCTGCGGAAGGAGAGGACCTGGATCTCTCGTGGACGCATGTGGCCGTCTGCTCGGCATCTGTATCCAAGATGTTCTCTGCAGAATAATACCGTCCTTGTGTCTTGGCCTCTGACAACTTGCTCTGTTTGTCCCACGTGGCCTGGTACTCAGCGAAGGTCCCAAGCCTCTGCTGCTCTACTGAGACCTGCTTATTTCCAGGGTGGAGGTGGCTGGGTTCTGTAGATGGGGGGGCCTCCTCATGCCCTCCAGTGGGAGTTCTCTCTTTGGGTTTGCCCGTCTGGCCCAGATCTGTGTTCGACTTTGTATCTTGACTTGGCTTCAGCACAGGCCTGGAAAACGCTGGTCTGGCCTCAAAGAACTTCCTCCGCTCTCCAAAAGAGCCTGCCTGAGGTTCTCCCTCCACTCCCACTTTGTCTATCTTGTCAGGCTCTGAGAAGGAGCGAGTACTGTTTGCCTGCAAGAAGCGTTTAGGTCCCCTAATGCATCCATTGGAGGTTTTAACTAGCGGTGTCTCAGGTCTAAGGGGCTCTAGGTCTCGTCTCTGGAAGGAGGTGGCCTGGAGGACCCTGGCCTGTGCCTCCTTCAGGTGGTCCTTGTAGGTGGTGGAGAAGGATACGCCAGAAGATGCAGAAGCCTCCATAGCACTCCACTCCTCAGCCTCCTGGTCCTCAAAGTCGCAGCTCAGGGTTGCAGTGCTGCGGCTCTTCTGTAGCTGCTCTCGCTTCTGCTGGATCTCTTTGCGGAGGACGGTAGAGTAACGGTCGCTGCGTCGGTTCACTTTCCCGCCACCACTGGCCATGGAGTCACTGGTATCGTGGGTGGACGCAACACCAGTGGTAGCAGCGGCTTGCCTCTCAGCCAGACTCTCCTGGGCGAGGGAGTGGAGGAGAGGCGTTCTCAGAGGGGAGATACGGTAGTCTTCCTGAGGCACCCATGGGTCCTGAAGCCTTGAAAGACTAACCTTATTGTCACTACTTTGTACTGGGAAGTGTCTTTTCATGTTGTTAGAGAGTCTTTCCTCTGGGCTGTGGTTTTGACCAGCCAGCTCAGAGGTTTGCTGGTCATGGCCACTGCGCTCCTGATTTTCATTGTTTGGCGTCTGGGACTGTGGCAAAGGGAACTTTACCTTAACGTTTGTCTTCAAGGAACTTGGGAAGCCTGGTTCATTGCTGTTTATCCAGTGGGGTTTCTCTGCTTTGCCCTGCCACTCAGGGGTCTGAACCGAATGCTTGTCTGCAAGGCTGTAGTACCTGTTATGCTGCCCATCCTCCAGGTGTGGGTTTGTGGCGCAAGTGGCTGCAGATGCTGTGGAGTGCCGCACCTGTTTCTGGCCAAAAGCGTTTGTTAGCAGATCCTGGAGGCTGTGATAGCAGCTTCCTACACTCTGAGTCTTGCTGGGAGGAGCTGAGCTTGTGTGCATGTAGAAGGGGCTTTCGTCGCTGACCTGCCTCTGGTGGGCAGGTAGCTGGGCATAATGAGACTGTCTGACATCACTGCTGGACAAGGAGAAGAGCTTGTTGGAGTGCAGCAGGTTGTGGTCAGCTGCCATGTTGGGGTGGAGGAGGTCTTTGGTGGGCAGGGGGTTGAAGATGCATCTGGCCTCTGAGGCTTTCTCCAGGTGTGCTCTGAGGCCGTTCTGGGCATTATGTTCTGTCAGTTTCTCAGCTGATCTGCCACGGCTCCTTGTTGGACCAGGCCCGTCAGAGTACGAGAACACCTTTGTGACAGCGAAACTGTCACTGCGGAGGGGGGGAGGAGGAGACTGGGACTTCTTCTCTGGCACCTGCCACACTGGGCCAAAGCTGGGCCTCCCTGCAACAGAGACCCAAGAGGCAGGCTGCTCCTCTGCCCGGGACCCCTCCCAGCCGCCACTCCCGAGGCACTTGGGCCGCTCACTCTGAAGGCCCTTGAAGAAAATGTTTTCAGAGCTGGTACCCTTCCTACCCAACGAGCTGCGGTCATGAACAGATGGGCTGTAGCTGCTAGAGAAACAGCCAAACCCAGAGTCTCGTTTGCCTCCTGGTCCACAGAGCGGCTCAGTGCTGTTGATGTACGAGGCTGGGGTAAGACGAGCTGGTGGGTAGGGACGGGGGTGAGGCTCCAGTCTCTCCATGCTGTTCACTAAACTGAGCTGATGCCAGGGGTTCTGGTCCTCTGGAGTGGACGTCGCTTTCGACCTGGTGTGTAATGTCAGGGAAAATGTAACTGAGCTTAAATTTAATGAATTATTATTAGTCATAATGCTGCCTTTGTTGATTTGTGCTTCAGACAGACTAAGTGAAACAATGAATCCTGCAGAACTTGGTTTAGCTTACTGGGAGTTGAGCAGTTTATTGAAAACAGACAGGCCTCACAAGTTTCCTGAGCAAGAACCCTGTCACCCAATGCAGCGGTGTGGCTCACTGGGCTGTGCGGCTGGACAACAGTGGAGGTCTATAGCAGCTGTTCTCACACTTTTGTAACCTAAGGTTCACTTTTGATTGTAAAAAACTAAAGGTTCCTAACCTTCCCAACCAAATAAATACATATGCACAACAAAATAAATTAACTTGGCTGTAAATACGTGTTATTTATCCCACAGCCCACTGGTTGAGAACAGCTGGTCTACGGCACAGAACAATAAGCTAAACCAGGGTCTGGATTCACACATCACAGTGACTACAACACATAAAGAATATGCCTCTCTCTCTCTCTCTCTCTCTCTCTCTCTCTCTCTCTCTCTCTCTCTCTCTCTCTCTCTCTCTCTCTCTCTCTCTCTCTCTCTCTCTCTCTCTCTCTCTCTCTCTCTCTCTCTCTCTCTCTCTCTCTCTCTCTCTCTCTCTCTCTCTCTCACACACACACACACAAACTACCTGATTGGCTTGTGGTGAAAACACTTTTTCTGCCCTGTTTAATGCAGACAGAAGCAGAGAACCTAACCTTCACACCTTGTTTCATGTTTGGGCAGCCTGACTGGTGCTGGGGTGGCCTCTTTCCCGCCGACCTCTGGCGCCTCCTCTGTCAACATGGAGGGTGGCCGCGCACCCAGATCATTCTTCCTGCAAAGCACAAAGGCAACCAACACCTGACATGTCAGTATCTTTCAGTCTCTTTCAGGACAAGTCCCGTGGCAGGATTTGGTAATAACGTACCATTTTACATTTTTTTCCAAACACAATAAATATTCATACTGGTAGTTGAGGAGGTGCAACAACTCTCCTGCTCTGGCTCTAAAATTTCACTGCAGAACACACGTTTAGTGTTTGGACTGTTTGTCAGAGAGAGTCAATCTGCAGGTACAGAAACACTGGCTCCCAGAATCAACATTTAACAGAGGTACAGTTTTTTATTATGGATCATTATAAAAGTGTTCAGTGTTCATTATTACAGGAGAAAATATTGGCCATGGTTTGACCTTCTACAAATCACATAATTCTTGCATTAGTATTATTATACAAGGAGAATCTGGACATTAATGACAAGCTTCTGCAAGTGTGTGGTTTCTTCACAGTCTGCATGTCTGAATTCTTGACTGTTTTAGTGTTAACAAGATGTGACTTGTTGTTCAGTTTGTGCCAAGTCCAGCAGTTACAGGGACTTCAGCTGCAGCCTTGTGTTTGGACCTCTTCTATGTTTTGTGTACACATGTCAAGAGGCATCTCCAAATGCTGAGAACATTACTGTGAGCTGGCACGTACCCTCTGCAGTGGTTCTTCCTGGACAGCATGTTGAAAAAGAAAACAACCACTTGGAGAACATGGACAATACGAGAGAACCGTCAACACTGTATGAACATGACAAAACCAGTTAACACCACATCAGGAAGCTGTACATCACAGAACTGACCACAGCCACATGACACAAACCAACACAAATATGCACGTGACAACTGATTGCTGGTTTGGACCAGCAGAACCACACTGATGGAGTGTACAGGATACTACAAAGCACAAACATCACTGTGAACTAGCAGCAGACACAAGAGGATGATGTCGCTATATGCTGGTACCTCATAGAGCTCCGCAAAACCTTGGTGAGGAAACTTCTTGCCACATGAACCTCGGTTTCTGATGGCATTGTGAGAGGCAACACAACATTGACCATTTCAGCCCTGACGTGGGCACCGAGTGAAGGAAGGAGGAAGAGGACACATTAGCATCAACAGAAGAGATGAGAGAACAACACAGCAAGTTGGTTTTTCCTTCTTTTTTTAAGCAAGACTAAGAAAGCAGACATTGAGGTTAACCCTAAAATAACCAGTGAACCTTTGCCTCACAGTAGCCACAATATTTTCCTTACACCTAGATCAACCTTGCTGTCATCCCACCTCCTAAAAACACCAGAGAGAGACGACCACCTGACTGAACAGCAATGTCAGACTGAAATAAAGCTCAAGTAAACGACACTGAGCTGCACCGCAGCAGGACTGATGCAAGTTCATTTAGCTATCGTGGCCTCACTGGAACAACTGGTGTTTTTAAACAGGGCAGCATTTTGGACCAGATCCCTGAACGATCCAAGCAGGTAGAAGTTCAGTGCCTGTGACAGTGCTCTTATTGTGAAGGGCTGTCACAATAAGAGACAGATCTGTCAGAGCCACATGGCCCAGACTGAGCTCAGCTGCTTAGACAACACCCTCCCTCACATGCACCTCAGTATTTATCTCAGCAGGTTCTGTTTGCAGCTCAGACATCAGCTGAACAAACTGTGTGTTGGGAGCTTCTCAGATCTTTTTAAAATGCCTGAAACTGACCCTGCCAGATCAGGACATTCCTTCAGCACAGGAATGCAGGGAGGTATTCTCTCTCGCATCAGCTGGGACATCTCCAGGGAGACTCGGTCTCCCAGGAGTCTCTGCAGTGGAATGCACACACTGCGGAGTCTCCTGTCTGACTGTCTGCAGTGCTTCACCTGGCTCTGACCTTCTGTTGTCTCTGGTATAGATGTTTGGTGCCGACCTGGTGAAGCCGCCAAGTACTTTATTCTAATCTGATTGAAGACAGGACAAAAACATGACACAGCCAAGAGAAGCTGAAAGACGTCAAATACAGTGTTTGTGCTAATGCAACAGTTTAGAGTTAGATTTTAGGATTTCAAACTATTCAGGAGGTTTGTTTTTCAAGCTCAAGTTTTAGTTTCATCACATTTTGTAAAATTTAATTCCTCAACCATCACAGTAACTTCAGGTGGATAAAACTACTAATCTGAGTTTCTGACATGATTTTCTTGAATGCACCTCGACAGGATGAAAGATTTCCCACTTCTCTCTTCAGCTACAAACCGAAGCAGAGTGCCGAGCCCGCTCTTCTCTAGTAAACAAACAAACCAAAACTGTGAAAACGCAACAACAGAGCATTTATAGAAACTCATGAGGCCTATTATAAAGTCAAACATTGCAAACCGTTTTTTCAAACACATCCCTCCTCTGGCTCAGTATCACACACAAACAAGTGGAAACAACACAATGGAAATGCAAATGTCTATTGTTGGGACCCAGCTGGGGAGGAGTCATCCACTCCCAGGAAACATGAGGCTGCGCTCAGTCAACAGCAAACACAGCCGAGCCAGAGGGGCCGAAACATAAAGACGACTTGCTGACATGAAGCACCTCACCCCCACCCACTCCCACTGCTAATATGCAAAGCTGAACAGAACTCAGATCCAAACGAGGACTTTCTCATTGAGCGTCCTACAGTCGTTCAGTCTTTGCTCATGTAGAAGTAAAGAGTAAGAGCTTGAACTTTCCTGCTAACAACATCTGGAAAAGACCATTAGAGAACATAATACTTCTGTAGTACACTTAATACTAAAGCAGTCCAGGTGGAGAACAGAATGTACTGCTCAACTCGCTCAGTGAAACTGAAAACAACACAAACACTGATTAAAATCTGTAGCTATAGTATCCCAGGTGAACTCAGTCTGTCAGCAGAGAAGCAATCCACAAAATGTCCTTCACCAAACAAGATTCAAACAGGAGAAGAAACTAAGTGCAAAGATTTCATCCTGTTTTCAGTACAAACCATTTCCTGGCAGTTTTGTAGAAGTTTTTGTAGAAGAAAATAGCTGAAAATAGTTGGTCTGCACACAGGTTGAAATGACATTCCTGCACCGGCAGATGTCAGGAACACATTTCAGAAAACAACCAATGATGAGACGACTTGCTCTAACAAAGGAGGGGAGAGAAATGAAGCAGCAGCAAAATGTGGGAACTTACCGACCACCTGAAACTGTTTGTGTGACTCCTTCAGCAACACCCAGCACAGAAGGAAACACATTGTGGGACCAGCTCCCACTGGTCACACAGAGACAACCCTGAGGAATCTGCCCCCCCCCCCCCCC